GGCTCTTCACTCAGGAATTACTCCTGGCGGTGCTCGGGGGACCATATGGGATGCTGGGAATTGAACCCAGGTCGGCCGCGTGCAAGGCAAACGCCCTATCTGCTGAGCTATCGCTCCAGCCCCTGTGTGTGTGTTTTTGGGTCACACCCTGCGGTGCTCAGGGCTCACTCCTGGCTCTGCACTCAGGAATTATTCTTGGCGGTCCTCAAGGGACCCTATGGGATGCCAGAGACTGAACCCAGGTTCACTGCATGCAAGGCCAGTGGCCTCCCCACTGTCCTGTCGCTCGCTCAGGCCCCACAGACACATTAAGTATGGTGGGTGAGGTCAGGGGGGATTTAAGGGACAGGGACAGGTGCAGGCCCCTGGCCTCCAGGCCCTCCTGCATCTGCACGTTTGTCTGTTCAAGACATACACACCCTTCGTATCTTGCTAGCACCTCCAAAGGGTCTTAGCGCTGGCCCTGGAGGACATCTCATCTCCAAGAGAAGGTGGACGTAGATGCCCCCATCCTAGTGCGGTGGGGACAGGCGTGAGGGAGGCAGGGAAGGCAGCTGGGAGGGGGACACCGAGCTTTGAAGGGTGCAGGGAAGTGCCAGGCTTTAACTCAGCAAACCCGGTCCTTGCTGGTCCCCAATCGCCTCAGAGAGCCAGAGCCAGACATGACATCCCGAGGGGTCACAAACAGGCTCAAGGAAGGCTGGAGGCTGACCACGGGATGTGGGGGCATATGGGGTGCCGGTCAGGGCCTCCTGGGAGGCTGCGGCACCCCCGGAGCAGATGAAACTGCCGCTGAGTGCTTTGGCCTCTGGACTCACTGCTCTGGTTAGCCTGCGCTCCAGCCGCTAACCTGGGTGAGGTGAGGGGAGGACGACCAGCCCCCTCCACAGGCCTGGGACCGAGGGGTCAGGCTGCGATTTGCCACTGTCATGTGGGAGCCCACATACTGGAGGCAAGCAGGAATTTGTTAATGACAGCGAGCTGGAGGGACCTAGAAGACCTTCCTGGTGGAGGCAGCTCCTGAGGCAGGACTTGAGGAAGAAGAAGGATAGCGCACAGGAGAACCCAGCAGGAGTTCAGGGAAAATGTTCAAGGGTGCGGCACACACTCAGCGCCACACAGCCTGGCAGCTCCTACAAGTTCCCAGCTGGCCTGCAGCTCTGGGCCGAGCGTGGCCGGGAGTGGCCCCTCCCCAGGTGAAGGAAGGACCCAAGGCAGGGTGAGGGGGAAGCCTCGTGAGCAGGGCCAGAAAGGCCACAAGGCCACAGTGGAGCTGGACAGGGGAAAAGCAGGAAGGGCCGGGGACGGCCATGCAGGGTCTCTGGGTCCAGGAGGGGGCCAGGCCTCCCTGACCCTCCAGGCGTTCCCACAGGGGAGGAGCAGAGCGAAGTGGAAAATGGGTCCTTCCAAGAACAGGAGTGTGGCGAGAACAGGCCCAGCCCTGGGCTCTCCCCTTGTGCTGTGAGTGTCTGGCTTTAATTCTGAAACAGGGAGAGGAAGGATGCTAGAAAGCGAAAACAAGAGGAAGAGAGGAAAAGAGAAAGGAAGAGAGAGGAAGAGAAAGGAAGAAAGCAAGAGAGAAAAACAAAGGAAGAAAGGAAGAGAAAGGAAAAGACAAGAAACAGCTGATATTGGGGAGCAGAGAGAAGTCCCGAGGCGAGTGCTTTGCAGGCCCAAGGCCCCGAGACCTGGTCTGAGCAGCACTCAGGCAAGTGCAGGCCAGAGTGGTCCCCTGAGCACTCTGGGAGACAAAGGGAATCTCGTGCTGAACCAGCAGCCCAGCTGACAGAAAATAGCCCACACGGGCCCCTGGACTCTCCAAACACTGCTTGGGAGCCCCCCCGATAATCAAGTGAGTGAATAAAAATGGGCGTAGCACCATGAGCCAGTTCCAGGCATTTTACCGCGTGAGCACACGTCACAGGGCAGCCAACCTATTTCATCACCATCGTCATCGTCGTTACTGGTTTCTATTTGGGGGCTCTCCCCAACTGTGCTCAGGGATCACTCCTGCTGGGGCTCGGGGTAGAATCTCAGTAGGCCCCATGTGCAAGGCAAGTGCCTTCTCCTCTGGACTGTCTCTGTGGCACGCCCCTCTTCAGCCAACCCATTTTGCAGGTGGAAATCTGAGGCCCTCGAGAGGCATGCCTGTGTGCAGCTGCTGGACCAAGTTTGATGCATGCAGGTAGCACTTGGGATCAGACTCATGGCCTCACATGCAAAGCAATGCTTTAGGCCATGGAGTCCTCTCCCTGTGCCCATGATCTGAACTCACATGCCCTGGGCTTGGAGGCCACAAAGGAGAGAAGGGGAGGGAGCAGGCTGACAGTGAGTCCATCCAAGACGTAGGATGCTCACCTGGGGGGCCAGGGAAGAAGACTCCCCTCCTGGAGACCTCCCCTCCCCCCCTTTCAGTGAGCCAAGATCACACCTCCCCCAGGCACCCTGAGGTCCCATTTGAGTGGGGAGGGAGGAAGGGAGTCAGGGAGGGAGGGAAGGAACAGAGGAGGGGCTGCAGGTGGGCCTTGAAGTCAGGCCGGAGCTCCCAAACAAAACAAAATGAGCTGGATCCTAGAAGGGTCTTGAGGGGAAGGAGGGAGATGCAATGCCACGAGGGGACAGAGCAAATCGGGGTCCAGAGCCTGCCGAGAGGATGGCACCAGGTGAAGGTGAAAGGCGTCTCAGTCTCTCTGTGGGCACGGGGACTTGTCGGAACCTGTGTCGGAGCTGCCTTCTGCTCCGTGTAAAGGGAGGAATCTTGGGGGCTGGAGCAATAGCACAGCGGGTAGGGCGTTTGCCTTGCACTTGGCCAACCCGGGTTCGATTCCAAGCATCCCATATGGTCCCCTGAATACCGCCAGGGGTAATTCCTGAGTACAGAGCCAGGAGTAACCCCTGTGAATCGCCAGGTGTGACCTAAAAAGCAAAAAAAAAAAAAAAAAAAAAGGGGGAAAAAAAGGGAGGGATCTTCAGGGCGTCAAGGAGATCGTTCAAGGGAAGCAGCTGACAGGGCCTAATCTCAACAGCCTGCATGATGCCCTGAGCCCTTCCAGGAGCGATCCCTGAGCACAGAGCCAGGAATCAGCCCTGAGCACTGCTGGGCACAGCCCCAAAACAAAATCTCTGACAAGGTTTCCTGGCCCCGGTCTCGCTTCCTCCCAGCAGGCAGAGCAGGGCTGTTGCTGCTGTCCCTGAGCAGGGTTGAGCTGGTGGTAAGGTGACGCCCCCTGCCCATGTGGTGGGGCAGGGCTGAGGCTCTGGAAAGGAGGGGCCTCGCTCTGCAGATCAGGTTCCCATAGATGTGGAATCCCCTGATAGAGCGCGTATCATGGCACTGAACACGCCCCTCAGAGTCCCACAAGAGAAGAGCGAGAGAACAAAGAGGGGGGCATGTCTGGCATATGACTGTGGATTCGTGATCTCGTGATGCTGAGCATGTGTGTGTGTCCTATGATGGGTGGATTCCTCCCTCAGACACCAGCCTGCGCAAGGTCCTAGTCAGTTCCTTGGATGTAAGCCCAAAGAGGGAACAATCTTAAGGTGCACTGGCCAGAGAACAGACAGCTAATGGCAGGCTCCTTCCCGGAAATACTACACTGCCATGAAAAAGGTATTCCTCATGACGACTGAGTGCAGAACAAGACCCTTTCGTTCTAGTTCCACAAAGTTCCAAGAGCACAGACCAAGTTGGGATTGTTTGTCAGGATGGATGTGGAAACCCTGAAGAAGACCTGGGAAGGGAAATACGGAATGGGGTCGTTCTTCCACAGTGAAGCCGTGAGAGCAGACCCCCACCTTGAGGCTGTGCTCAGGGAGCCAGATAGAGCATTGCTCGGCCAGGGGCCACCCTACGCTCTGTCCAACCCTGGAGTGACAGTCTCTCCAAGCATGTCATCTCCGCCACATCTTCCTTCTGACAGGCAGTGCCAGAATCCAAGCTGCAGGGTCAGACGCAGGTGGATTCCTGCATCACTGCTTTGATAGCCTTGTTTCTGAATTTTGGGGTTTTTTTTTGGGGGGGGGGCCACACCTGCTGGTGTTCAGGACTTACTCCTGACTCTGCACTTAGGCATCACTTTTTGGTTAGTTTTTGTTTTGGGCCAAACCCAACAATACTCAGGGCTTACTCCTGGCTCTATGCTCAGGGATCACTCCTTGCAGAATTGGGGGACCCTGTGGGATGCCGGGGATCAAATCCAGGTTAGCCGCTGTCCTAGTCCTCGGGCAGCCACTTTTAGATACTAATCTCTGCAATGCCCCTCACGGACACCGTGAGGCAAATCCTAGTACTGTCTCCATTCTGGAGGTAGAGAAACTGAGGCACGGGACCGTTAGATGGCTCACCCAAGGCCGTGCTGGAGGTCAGAGCTGGGGCAGAGTTGGACACTGGACAAATAAAAGCCCGTGTTGTATGTTCTTTGTGAAGCTACAGGCAGATGGTGGGGGGCGGGGGATGGTGAGCAGGCAGGAGTAGGGGTCAGGAGCAGAGCAGGAGGGTGAGACGTGTCCAGAAAGATGTTTTTGTTTTGCTTGGGGACCACACCTGGCTTGATTAGAGCTTACTCCTGGCTCTGTATTCCTGGCGATTTCTGGGGACCCTGTGGTGGGCGGGGGATTGACTCCGAGTCAGCTGTATGCAAGGCAAACGCCCTCCCCGCTAGACTGCAGATCCAGCCCCTTACGGTTTTTTCGGTTGGTTTGGGCTTTTGTTTTTTGCATTGGGGGGGATCAAGGTCGGCTTCCTGGAGATGGGGACATTCAAACTGGGCATTGAAGGGTGTCTGCCTACGTGTAAAAGCGGGATCCAGCCCGAGTGGCTCAGGGTGCGGGAGCCCGAGACTGCCCCGGAGCGCCGGGAAGAGGAGCCTGCGCGCGTCCGGGCCCCGCGCCCAGCGTCCGTGCGTGCGCGCGCGCGTGCGGGGCGCTGCGGGCCGCCCCCGGCCTCACGGCCCACCCCCCCCTCGGCCGCGGCGCCCCGCCCCATCAGGCGTCCTGGGCCCCGCCCGCCGCCGCCGCGTCGCCGCGCCCGGAGCTGTCCGCGCCCCCCGGTGCTGAAGCATGTCCAGGGGCCGGGCCGCGGCGTGAGCGCGGGCAGCGGGCAGCCAGGCCAGGCCCGCAGACATGTCGCTGCTGTGCGTGGGAGGTAGGAGGCGGCGCGGAGCCCGCGGGGGTCCTGCCGGACACGGCTGGGGGGGCGCGGGGGTTACGGGGCTGCAGCGTCCGTCTACACCGCCGCCCGGGGCAGCCCCCGATTATTTTCGCAGGGTCCGGGTAGTGGGGATGAAGCCCCGCGCTGCGAGCTGGGCCGCGGACCCGCCTGGCTCGGAACCCGGCCGGACCCCTCGAGGCGAGCCGGGACGCGGGTGTCCGGGCGGGGTCCCCGCGAGCCCCCCGGCCCGAGCTATTTCGGGCGCGGCGCCATCTGCGCGGGGCCCACGCCCGGGCCGGGGCGGGCAGGCTGGGTGCGGGCGCCCCCCGCGCCCCGCGGGGCCCTGCGCGTGTTCCGAGCCCCGGCCGGCCGCCTGCTGGACCCGGGCCCGGGTCCGCCCCCGCCGCCCCTCCCCCGCCCGCCGCTCCATTCACAAACCCGCGCCCCGCCCGCGCCGCCCTCCCGGGTGCGAAGCGCGTTGTGCGGGGCCGGCGCAGGGGGGGGGTGGGGGGCGGCGCTCTTAAAGGGACAGGCGCCTCCTTTCCGGAGCGCGACCCCGCGGGGCGCCGCGGGTGGGCGAGGGAGACACGCCCGGGAGCCCCTCGCCGGCCCACCCACCCCCTGGCCCGTGAGGACAGCCCCCCAACGCAGTGGGAGGGAAGGCCGGGGAGAGGGACACCAGCTCTACCCCAGCCCGCCCTGCCCACAGCCTGGGGGGGTTGTCACTGCACCCTCAGCTGTGACGCAAGCAGGAGGCTGGTGCGGGGGCGGTGTGAGGGGGGCCTGGAGGGGGCGGGGGAGGGGCGGGAGTCACCTGCGCGCGGGGCCGGCTGAGCGTGTGCGTGGGGGAGGGGAGGCTCTGACGAGTCCAGGGAGAGGAGCAAGAAAGAAGGGTGAAGCCGACCAGGGGACAGGGGCCCAGCCCGGAGAGTGCGGGCAGGGCCGGGAGTGGACTGGCAAGAAAATATCTGCCCTGCGGGGGTCATCTGCGCACACCTATGCGGGCAGGAAGTGCTCGGACCCTGAGCTCCTTCACCCGGCTTAGCATCACACGCATGCCCACAGTCGAGGCGCGGCACACAGCTGGCCGCCGCACGCTTGTGCCCACGGACACACATAGGAACCCAACTGCCTTCTCTGGAGTACGTGGTCTCCGTATGAGCACACATGGTCTCTGTGTGTCTGTGTCTGCACACATAGTCTCTGCATGTCTCCGTCTGCACACACCTGGTCTCTGCATGTCTGTGTCTGCACACATGGTCTCTGTGTCTGTGTCTCCACACCTGATCTCTGCATATCTGCAAATATGGTCTTTGCATGTCTGTCTGTGTCTGCACACACAGGACTCCAGTGCCTGTGGCCTCACTGTCTTGCACACAGACATGCATGCCTGTGCTTGCAGTGCTATCCCTGAACACACATGAACAGGTTTGTGCTGCCACACATGTGTGGAGGCATGTCCTGCATGCCACCTGCTCATCAGCTTGAGACCATGTGTGTGTCCGTGTGTGTGAGCCTTCACCCGCTCGAGGCTGCTGTGAGCCCCGCACAGCCCTCCTGGCTCTGGCCTGTGCTGGGACACACACGCGTGTCCCTAGGCTGCAGAGCCCATGCAGGTGGGGGCGAGGGGGTCCTAGTGTTTAGCGGGAGGAAGCTGGCGCTCCAGAGGCAGAGGGCCTGGTGGCTTTCAAAGTTCCATAAATTCTGGCTGATGGAATCCTGCATTTAGCCCAGAGGGGGGCTGGCGAGGATGGGGTTCCTGCCCATAGCTTCCACCAGTTCCCTTTTTTTGGGGGGAGGGTCACACCCAGCGATGTTCAGGGGTTACTCCTGGCTCTGCACTCAGGAATTACTCCTGGCAGTGCTCACATTCTGTGAGATGTGGGAATTGAACCCGGGTCGGCTGCATGCGAGGCAAACGTTCTCCCTGCGGTGCTACGGCTCTGACCCACCCCATCTTGGACAAGAAAACGTGAGGTGCTGGGAGCTTCAGCAAGGTGCCTGCTGAGCCTGTCTGCAGCCCAGGGCTGGGTGCATCTCCTCAGACCCTAAGCCCCAGGGTCGCCAGCGCCCTCTGGGGGGCATCTCCTGCTTCTCACACATAGTGAAATGCCCGGGACAGCCCCATTTCCCACCAAGCGTCTCCATAGCGATGTTCCTTCCCATTTCCTGATGCCCTCTGGCCAGCCCCAGGCCCTGAGCTTGGGATGACCCTGGGCCAGCTGTGCGCCTCACCCCTGCACTCTCCACTCTTCATTGGCATCTGAGCCCCTGGAGCTGGCTGGTGCCCGCAGGGTCACCCTCTCAGCCAGTGGCCTAGCTAGGTCCCCACTCTCCCCCCACATTCAGGGGGCAAGCCCCTCCCCGAGCTCAGCTATTCTCCCGCAAGCTGGGTGCCACACACCTCCCATACGCAGCCTTCTGGCAAGCCCCGTGTGTCTTCTGTCCCCCACGTGCCCATCTGTAGAATGGGTGCGCTGGGCATGCCAGCCGCCTTGGCTCAGCAGCAGAGCCGTCTTGTCCTTGGCATGTGTGCCCAGTGGGCGGATGAGTCTCAGTGAGCCTGCGCCAGCAATGGGGGAGGGGGCGATGGTGGCGTTTTTATTAATGGGCTCTAAAAGCTTTCTGGAAGGAGCCCCCGGTGCAGGCCAGGGAAGCGCCCTGTTCCCAGAGAGGGCCAAGAGCGGCCAAGAGGATCGCTGGGCCAGGCGGCTTTTTAGCACCATGGGCAGCGCCAGAACCGGGGCTGCTGGCCGCCCAGGGCCAGTGAGATGCTTTTTAAGGCGCTCTGTGCTACCTCTCCCCTAGTTATTTTTTTCGGGGAGGTGAGGAAGCCAGATGAGGCTGTGCTTGGGGCAGATTCCCAAGGCAGTGCTCAGGGATGGTTCCCGTTTCTGTGCTCAGGGCTCAGTCCTGGGACCCAGGAATTCTGGGCAAGGCCAGGCGTAAGGACCTTGGACTTTCCTTCTGGCCCCTGGGGGACTTCATCTAAACTCCCTGAAATGCCAAACCAGAAGGGCCAGTGTCCACTTCCCGCAGCCCCCAGGGAGTGAGCTCAGAGAGCTGGGAGAGCAGAGATGTGCTGGACGGACACCTCCTAGTGTCCTGAGCAGAGTTGGGGGGCCCCACTGCCACCCACTACGGGAATGGTTGGCTGAGTGTGGCGGAGAGCGGCCCCCAGCCCCCGGGACCCACCTGGGGGGCCACCCCCAATATTCAGCGTGGAGGTGAAATCACTATAGCCGTGACACACTTGTCTTGCACGTGGCTAACTGGGGTTCGATCTCGGGCGCCCCATAGGGTCCCCCGATCCCTGCCAGGAGTGATCCCTGAGTGCAGTGTCAGGAGTCAGCCCTGAGCATCATTGGGTGTGGCCCCGAAACCAAAAAATAACAAGAAACCAGCACTCAGAATGAAGCAGAGAAGGAGGGAGAGGAGGGGGGTGGTAGGGAGAATTCTCCTAATCGCCCCAGTTCCAGCCGCAGACCCGAGGCTGGCCGCAGGGAGCCCCCCACCGTGCAGAGGTGCCGACCACGTGATGCAGCCTTATAAATAGCCCTGTGGCCTGAGCGCTGGCCTGAAGGGGAGGGGGAGACTCCTGGCAACCCCACCCCCGCTTCCCTGCTCGGCTCCCCTTCTCCCCCTAACCCTTCAGACCTGGCCCCCCCTAACTGCCCCCCTACCTCCCCCCTCCCCACCGGCCAGGGCCAGGGACCCCACCCCATTCCTCCCATACTGCTGCCCGCAGGACTGGCTCCACCCCCTGCCTCTGTCCCCTTCCTTTTCTCCATCCACCTCTTGCGTACGTGCATGTGTGTACATGCTTGCATGTGTGTGCATTTGTGCATGTGGGCTTGCATGCCTGTGTGCATGTGTTCGTGTGTGCACATGTGCATGTGGGGGGCACGCATGCCTGTGTACGTGTGTGTGTGGGCATGCATGACTGTGTACGTTGTGTGTTCATGCGTGCACGTGTGCGTGTGTGTGGGCGTGTACAAAAGTGTCTCACTGGCCTTCTCTTTTCCCCTCGCCTGGTGGAGCCTTGGCCTTTTAAGCTAAGGCACACCCCTGCCCCAGGCATCAGTGGCCCCAGCCCCACTCTGCCCCGGGACCTAGGAACTGAGACCTCATGGGTGGAACTGAGAGAGCAGCAGGAGCTCAGAGAGGGTGACGCACTGGCCCAGGGTCACACAGCCCAGTAAGCTGGACTTGGTACAGCCCCTCCCAGCGGAGGGCCCCCCACAGAGGCATCCGTGGGTATGGTGGGCCTGACACCCGGTAGGTTGGCGTGAGAGAGCATTCCCGGCTTCCACAGCTCTGAGCACTTTACCCCGTGCTTCAGGGCATCTGTGCCCCCCTCGCCTCTGCCGGCTGCTCCAAGGAACAGCGTTTCCCCCCAGACTGTGCGGAGCTCAGGGCAGGGCAGGCAGGACAGAGGCGCCCACGCGTCACCGTGCAGGACAGAGACCGGCGTTGGAGAGGGCCAGGCCCGGGAGCAGATTCGGGCTCTGTGGAGATGTTTCGGCTGCTTTCCATCAGCCCCGGGCAGGAGTATGGAGGGGCAGGGAGACAGCACCGTGGGGAGGGCCCTGCCCCGCACAACGGGAGTGTCCCTGAGCAGAGCCAGGAGCCGTCCTGTCCACTGCCGGCCGTGGCCCCAAATCAAAAAACAAACCAACAATCCTGAGGACCCCCTCCTGCCCCCGTGTGGCCCAGAGGGTGGTCTGCTGGTGGGGGCCACATGGCAACCCCCCGTGGAATCGGGGTACACCTGCCTCATGCTCTGGGGCTGCAGGTCTATGCGTCCAAGCTCCATGGTGGCCCAGACCCTTTAAATATGGACCCCCCACTACCCCGCCCAGGAGAGATGTGCTGGGTAAGTGGGGCAGGCGTCTCACTGGCCTAACTAGGAAGGGCCTGAGAGGCTTTGGAGATGGTCTTTCTCCTGTAACCTCCCTTCTTTTCCTCCCCGCCCTCTGCAGCAGTCCTGGAGGGCTTCCTGTAGGAGGTGTCTCTACCCCCCAGCTCCTTCTGTTGAATCTTGACTCTTGTTTGATTTGAGCAAAGGCTGGGGAGTTTGTGGGAGAGTCTGATGGGGAGCAGGGGGGTAAGAACTGCTCCCAATCCTGTCCAGATTTCCTTCCAGCCTGAGATTTGCCTGTGCTTTTGTGTCTGATGGCCTCTCTCTCTCCCTTCTCCCTGCCTCCTCCTCCTCCTGCCCCATCTCTGTCTCTGCCTCTCTCCTATGTCTCTTCTACCTGTCTTTATCTCCTCTCTCCTCCCCGCTCCCCGTTTTGCTGTCCGTGTCCCCTCCCCGCCTCTCCCCCCTTTCCCTCTCTCTGTCTCTCTCCACAGTCAAAAAAGCCAAGTTTGATGGTGCCCAAGGTGAGTAGTGGCTCTGTCTGTTCTGTCCGTCTGTCCTGTCTGTCTGTCTGTCTGTCTCTCAGTGGGGACGGGGCTCTTTGAACCAGCCCTGGGGCCTGTGCTGGGGATGGTGGGACTCGCTCAGCGGGGCGAATTCCCACTGACAGGGCAGGATGGGACCCTGGGGAGTGGCTGTGACCCCGGAAATGCCAGTGACACCTCAGAGTGGCTCTGCCTTCTTGTCTGGGCTTCCGTCTCCTTGGCTGAAGTCCAGCCTCAGGGGCCAGGACCAGAGCCCTCAGCCCAGCCCCAGTGTCCACAGTGCTCAGAGGGACTTGGGGGGTGTGGGGTGCTGTTTAGGGATGTGACCGTGGGGGTCCCCGAGACCCGGCCAGGGGACATGGCCGTGGGGGTACCCGAGCCCCAGCCAGGGGATGTGACCGTGGGAGTCCCCGAGGCCCAGCCAGAGGACATGACCATGGGGGTCCCCGAGCCCAGACCAGGGGACATGACCGTGGGGGTCCCCGAGCCCAGACCAGGGGACGTGACCGTGGGGGTCCCCGAGCCCCGGCCAGGGGACGTGATCGTGGGGGTCCCCGAGCCCCGGCCAACCCCAGTCTCCACGCAGAAAAATTCAACACGTACGTGACGCTAAAGGTGCAGAATGTGAAGAGCACAAGCGTGGCCGTCCGCGGCAGCCAGCCCAGCTGGGAGCAGGACTTCATGTTGTGAGTCTCGCCATCTTCACGCCCTACCGCCATCTGCCCGCAGGCCGCCGCAGGGTATTTTTAAACCTTCCGAGCGGGCCGAGGCTCCTTCTCAGGAGCTTGCCCGCCTAGCCCGGATCTCCATTCCTCCATTAAGCCATTCTCGAACTGGCCAGGAGGCCAGCTCGCCCCACTGCCTGGCGACGCAGCTACGGGGTTCTTCCCCACCCCACCCCCCGGAAGCGTTTTGAAAGCCAGGGCGGGGGCACGACTGGAGAAATGGGACAGCGGGTCCCAGTGCCTGTGTGCTCCTGGGCCCCAGGCCCGTCTGGGTGCAGAGCCTTCCTGCTGTGCTGTGTGGGAGAGCTTGGAACCGGCTGGGCGGCTTATGAATCACAAAATAACACATCTCTGGCTGTTACACCCCGCTGCCCCCCACGGCCCTCCCTGCCCAGGCCCGCTGGGCTCCCCCTCACCCGCCATGCCTGCGTTTGAGCCCCATCTGGTTGCATGTCTTGGGGCCTCAGTGAGGGCGCCGTCACCGTCCTCTCCTCCCCACACAGCGAGATTAACCGGCTGGACTTGGGACTGATGGTGGAGGTGTGGAACAAAGGCCTCATCTGGGACACGATGGTGGGCATTGTGTGGATCCCGCTGCGGACCATCCGCCAGTCCAATGAGGTGAGGGCTGGGCTCGGGGTGTGGAGAAGAGGGACGTTCACAGCGGTGGGTATGTAGACATCTGGGGGGCTGTTGGGGTGCCGCCAGCAGCAGTAAGGCCAGACTCCACCTGGTTGCTCTGGCCCAGGAGGGCTGCCAGAGCACTGCTATTCCATCTGCATTCCAGCTGGTGAAAAAAAGGTGAGGAAGCTTCCAGGTCCTCACCACCCTCACCTCCCAGAGCTGGGATGCAGGAGGGTGTCAGGATAGGTTTCCTTTGCTGGCCAGGTGCAGAGGTGCCTGAGGGCTCTGGTCTGTCCCCTCAGGAGGGCCCAGGGGAGTGGCTGACCCTGGACTCACAGGTCATCATGGCTGACAGTGAGATCTGTGGCACCAAGGGCCCCACCTTCCACCGCATCCTCCTGGACACACGCTTTGAGCTGCCACTGGGTGAGTGTGTCCTGGCTAGGGTTTCCTGGGTGCCCTTTGAGCAGGGACTGGGTGAGGGGGTCCCACGGGAGTCGCCTTATGAATGAGGCCTGGTGATTGAGCAGGGCCTGGTGAGCGGCCGGTGGTGAATGGGTGGGGCTGGGTAGTGGGCGTTGTTGGGAGGGTGGGCGGGGCCTGGTGTGTGGGTAGGCACTTACAATGGGGGCTGGCAATTGGGCAAAGACTTGGGTGGGCGTGGTCCATCTAGTGGGCGTGGTTAGACAGGTGGGCAGGGCCTGTGGGTTTCCCCACTCAGAGACCTGGGTGTGAGTGGTTTGGGGGAGCCCTGGCCACAGGGGATGGCTGGTGCAAGGGAAAAGACCGAGACAGAGACACAGGAAGAGCCAAGAGACAGACACACTAGACGTCCATGCCTCTTCCCTGGAAACTCTCTGCCTCTCCTGTGGCCCGGTGGACTCCCTGCCCCTCCCAACCTCCCTCTGCCTCCCAGCCAGGAGTGGGCCCCCTCTGTGGTGTGGGGTGCTGGGTGAGGGCGGGGGCTGGAAACTCACGGAGGGGTCCCTGGCAGACATTCCTGAGGAGGAGGCACGCTACTGGGCCAAGAAGCTGGAGCAGCTGAACGCCATGCGGGACCAGGACGAGGTGAGCCGGGCCCTCGTGGCCACAGGCCGGTGCACAGCGCTCACAGCATGCATCACCCCCCGTCTGTTTTCTCCTGGCGTGCCGTGCCCCCCCTCCCCCCACCGTGTCTGCTGAGAGAGGATCTGGGAGGCCGCGGGGAGGAGGCAGGACAGAGACTCTGACACCCTCTCCCCCTCCCCTCAGTATTCGTTCCATGACGAGCCGGACAAGCCCCTCCCCGTCCCCAGCAACCAGTGCTGTAAGTATCTGCCTGCAGTGTGGTGTCCGTGGACCTGCCTGCCCTTGTGACCCCACCCTCCCCTCACAGACCCCCACTGCCCTGTACCCCCACTTGCCCCTATAGACCCGTGTCCACAGAAACAGGAATCTTTGGGGTATGAGTGCGAGTCCCCTTGCTCCCGGCCACACGCCCCATGGAGGCCCCTCTTTGAAGTGGGGGCTTCTCTCATAGTGACAGGCAGAGGCCTGGGAGATGCAGGGCAGACACCAAGGGTTGTCACTGACCCTAGAGGAAGTGCAGAGGCCAGGCCCACAGTGAGCATCCCACCAGCACACATAACACGCATTCACATACATGCTCACATGCATGCACACAAACACTATGCATGTACATACAATGCACACATCATTCATGCACAAAGATGTGTACATATGCACGTGCACACATGGATACACATATACACACACAGATGCATGCACACATGCATACACCACACATGCACACACCCATACAACACAGTGGACGCAGGAGCACCAGCAGGTTTTACCTGGAGCACTTGTCTCTGCCCCATTCCAGGTTCTCTTATTTTTCCAATTTGTATTTTTTTTTCTTTTTGGGTCATACCTGGCGATGCACAGCGGTTCCTCCTGGCTCTGCACTCAGGAATTACGCCTGGCGGTGCTCAGGGGACCATATGGGATGCTGGGAAGTGAACCCGGGTCGGCCGCATGCAAGGCAAACGGCCTACCCGCTGTGCTATCTCTCCAGCCCCTCCAGTTTGTATTTTTGGAGACACGCGGAGCATGCTCCGGGTTGAGCAGAGCTAGCCCTGCTGGTGCTCAGGGGCCAGACTTGGGGCTTTGTGCTTGCCTACAGGTGCTCTGCTGCTTCAACCACATTTCAGCCCCCCCTTTTTTCAGTTATTGTGTGTGTGTGCATGGGCACACCTGTTTCATGTGTGTGCACATGCATCTGTGTATGTGTGTATGTGCATGTGTACATGTGAGCATGTATGCACATGTATGTGTGCATGTGTGTGCTCAGGGCCTCACCGTTCACTGCAGTGACACATCTGGAGTCAGGTGAGGGCCCCTTTCTCAGGATGCTACATCCTGAGCTGCCAGGCAAGTGGGGAGACTCGGGGTTCGCCCTCCTTGATCGGCACAGGCTGTGTGACTGCTCCACCACTCTGAGCACAGACTTGGTGCAGCTTCAGCAAAAACATTCCAAGCCTGTGTAGCGGCCGGAGCAATAGCACAATGGGTAGGGCATTTGCCTTGCACGCCGCTGACCCGGCTTCGATACCCGGCATCCCATATGGTCCCCCCCAGCCAGGAGTAATTCCTGAATGCAGAGCCAGGAGTAACACCTGAGCATCGCTGGGTGTGACCCAAAAAGTTTAAAAAAAAGAAAGTCTGTGTGGGCCAGGAATGAGCCGCAGGGTCTGGGGGGCCATGCACAGGCAGCAGGACCCAGACCTTGGGTGGGAAAACTCCTGGGTCATTTTGCTGCTTGTGAGCTGAGACTCGAGCAAACAATAAAGAGGAGAGGGAGGGTGGATTCCTGTGGGGGCGGCAGGTGGCCACAGGAGGAGCAGGTCTGGGGTGCAAGAGGAGGCGGACCCTGCCCCAGCCCCCCCCTGCACCCCCCATCATCATCTCTGTACCCTGTCATCACCTGTGCCCCTTCTCTTCGTAGGCAACTGGAATTATTTTGGCTGGGGTGAACAGCAGAGTAAGTGAAACTGACTGGGGGTGGCCGAGGGGGCGGGGGCCCAGGAAGCCCGAGACACCCTGCAAGTGTCTGTGTTGGCATGTGGGGACCAGAGGGTGGGAAAGGTCTCCTGTCCCGACATGGATGTATTTGGGGGGTCCTGCTGTGTCTGGGGTGCATGCGCAAGGGGACCCGCCTGGGGAGTGTCCATCGGTCCTACCCGGCCTCAGCCCCATTGTAACTTCATTCCCTCTCCCCTGCGTCTTTTCACTTTTGTCTCCCCCTTCCTCCTTTCCTTCCTGGAAACCAAGCCAGAGACCTGTGGTAGGGAATGGGGGACCCCAGGCAGGACCCCCACCCTGGTCCTCAACTTTCCTGAGTACCAATAGCTTTCCTCTGATTTGCCCCTTGGGAAGGAGACAGCTGCGCCCCCAATCAAACGCTTTTCCTGCCTAAGGAATCTGCTGTTTCCCTTATTCCTCCTCTCACTTCTGCCTCCCGCCCTCCTTGACCTCCATGTCCTCACATCTGGGGAAGAAGATGGTGCAGGGGGGAGTTTCCTGAGACCCCAATGTAAAGCTCTTTGTCAAAGACAAGAGGCAGAAACAGATTTGACCCAAATAGGCAATGGGTGGCTGAGAAGGCCCTAGAGTGACTAGCCTACCACACACACACACACACACACACACACACACACACACACACGCATGCACACCCCCCCGTGTGTGCACATACACACATGCACACATGCCTGTGCTACACATACACACCTGTGCATGCACACCTACATACATAGGTTTGTGCATGCACATATACACATGCACACATGCCTGTGCACACACATACATATGTGTGTACTGTGCATGCACACATGCACACACATGCCTTGCATGCACATACGGACATACATACACCTGTACACGCACATACACACGTACATACACCTGTGAGTGCACATACACACATGCACACACATGTCCAAAGCAGACCCTGAGTGATGGAAGGTGGTGGACTTTAGTGGGAACAAATAATTAGTCAGAAAACGAGATTGAATCCAGCAGGAAGAGATCTGCGTCTGGCTTTTCCCTCCCTAATCCTGAAAGCTGGATCTCTGTAGCATGGCTCCAGGAGTTCGCAGGTGGGGTCTGAGAGGCCCCTCCCCCTTGGCTGTCCTCTCTCACCTCCCCGCTCTCAGATGACGACCCAGACAGTGCTGTGGATGACCGTGACAGTGACTACCGCAGTGAGACCAGCAACAGCATCCCTCCACCCTACTACACCACATCACAGCCCAACGCCTCCGTGCACCAGTACTCAGTGCGGCCGCCACCCCTGGGCTCCCGGGAGTCCTACAGTGACTCCATGCACAGCTACGAGGACTTCTCTGAGCCAAGGGCCCTCAGGTAGCCAGTGGAACAGGGACCATGTGTGCATGTGTGTGAGTTTGTGTGTGTGCATGGACACGTGTGTATGTCTGTACATGTGAGTGCACTGTGCACACATATGCCCGTGTATATGTTCGTGCATGCTCGTGCATGTGTGTTTGTGCACGTGTGTGTTTATGTGTGTACACCTGGATGCACATGTGTGTGCACACATGTATGCATGTGCGTCCATGCGTGTGTGCATGTGTTTGTGTGTAGGTGTAGGGGGAGGAAGGTAGATTTAGGGAATTGACACCCAGCTTTTCTCATAGGCATCACAATCACATCCTTTTTGTTTTGGGACCACATCCAGCAATGCGCAGGGCTTACTCCTGCTCTGCTCTCAGGAGTTACTCCTGGTGGTGATCGGGGGACCCTGTGAGGTACCAGCGATCGAATCCGGGTCAGCTGCATGCAAGGCAAATGCCCTCCCACTGTACTATCTTTCTGGCCTTCTTTCTTTTTTCTTTTTTTATTATTTTTTGTTTGTTTGTTTTTGCTTTTTGGGTTACACCCGGCGATGCACAGGAGTTACACCTGGCTCTGCACTCAGGAGTTACTCCGGGCGGAGCTCAGGGGACCATATGGGATGCTAGGAATCAAACCCGGGTCGGCCGCATGCAAGGCAAACGCCCTACCTGCTGTGCTATCTCTCCAGCCCCTCTTTTTTCTTTTTTTAAAACCAAAAATCTTGTTTGTTTAAACAAAACATCTCTTTGGAGCTGGCGCAATAGTGCAGCAGGTTCGGTTTCTGGCATCCCATCGTGTCCCCTGAGTACCACCATGAGTAATTCCTGATGCAGAACCAGGAGTAACCCCTGAGCACCACAGTGGGTGGCCTGCAAACCAAAAGAGATAAAATAAACGAAACATCTCGCAAGAAAATGCCATGAGCTTAACATAAAAGATCTGTCTTGACTTTAAGCTCTGGGATTATTCCTGGTAGGGATCCGGGGACTTTATGAGGTGCTGGGGATCGTACCTGGGTCGCCACATGCAAGATGAACACCCTCCCCACTGTGCGAGTCTAGTTCTTAGGTCCAGGATTTGGGGAGGGCCCGAGGGCACGTGGAGTAGGCCGTGTCCTCACCCGAGTCCTCGCTGTCCCACAGCCCCACAGGCAGCAGCCGCTACGCCTCTTCAGGGGAGCTGAGCCAGGGCAGCTCCCAGCTGAGTGAGGACTTCGACCCCGACGAGCAGAGCCTGCAGGGCTCCGAGCTGGACGACGAGAGGGACCGGGACTCCTACCACTCCTGCCACAGCTCCGTGAGCTGCCACAAGGACTCACCCCACTGGGACCAAGACGAGGAGCTGGATGAGGAGCTGGATGACTACCTGGAGGAGGAGCTGGAGGAGTTGGAGGAGGAGCTGGAGGAGGAGCTGGAGGAGGAGGAGGAACTGGAGGAGGAGGAAGAACTGGAAGAGGAGGAGGAGGAGGAGTTGGAAGAGGAGCTGGAGGAGGAGGAGGAGGTGCCAGATGACATCAGGGCCTATGCCCAGGAGGTGACCGTGGATGAGCCCAAGGACTTCAAGCGCATCAGCCTTCCGCCAGCTTCCCCAGAGAAAGACAAAGCCCCGGCTGTGCCCCCTGAAACCCCCGATGTGGCCCAGGTGGTTCCTGGGCCCCCTGTACCAGAAGAAGTGCCAGCAGCTGAGCGACCGGCCGACAGTGAGCCCCCCAAGGATGAGGAGAGGTAAGAGGGTGGCCATGGGGGTGTGCCGGGAGTCAGCTGCCCTTGGAAGCAGGAGTGGCTGTGGCAAGGGGTGGTTCACGGGAGGAGCTCAGTCAGGAGTCCTCAGACAGTCTGGAGCCCTCAGTGGACCCAGCCAGGGCTGAGGGCGCCCAGGGCCAGAGGTCTGTCTGTGGCAGGAAGGACAGCAAGCTGCAAAGAGACGGGGGCCAGGAGGTGGCAGCGGGCGCCAGGGACCAAGGGGTCAGAGGGAACAGGGTGGCAGGTGGAAAGGGGGACCTACAGGCTCTAAGGTCGAGGGGGAGGACAGCGAGGGTGAATGGAGAGCCAGTCCAGGCCTCACGGACTTGCCTTATTGCAGTTTCAGGCCGAGAGAGGATGAGGAAGGCCATGAGGGTCAGGACTCCATGTCCAGGGCCAAGGCCAACTGGCTGCGAGCCTTCAACAAGGTGCGGATGCAGCTCCAGGAGGTGAGCGAGGGCAGGGCCTGGCCACGCCCAGGGCCACGCCCACCACATCTCTTCTGCGGCCACGCCCACACCCTGGTCTTCCAGGGCCCCGCCCACATCTGAACGCCACGCCCATACTGCCCTGCCCCCCCCCCCCCCCAAACCGGCACGCCCATGTGTCCACTCTCCCGTTTCTTCCTTGACCTGCTCCTGGATGGCACGCCCATGCCAGTCTTTCCTGGCCACGCCCACCTGCGGAAATGACCTGGCTTCCCTATATTCTGGTGCTTTTCTGGCCTCATCTACAGATCACGTGGTCACACCCACTGATAATGCGAGAATCCCCACTCCTCAGACCCTGGTCTCTGTCCTTTTCTGTCCCCCTCTGGCTCAAGGAATTGAAGGCCAGTGACTAGTCAAGGAGTCAGGAAGGACTAGGACAGGGTCACCCAAGTCTCAGCCTGAAGCATGGTGTGTACGGGGGCCCTGCCCACTAACCGCATCTGTCCCTCTGTCCCACAGGCCCGCGGGGAAGGAGACATATCCAAGTCCCTTTGGTTCAAAGGCGGGTGAGTCCGGCCGAGAGGTGCGGGGGTGACCCTGGAGAGCTCGAGCCTCAGGCAGCTGCAGGAGGTCACACCGGGCGCCCACAGGAGGTGGGGGGGACCGTTTCCCAACCCTCCCGGCTGCCTCAAACCCCTGCTTGGCTCTCGACTCAGGGGCGCTCCTGGGAGGCCTTGAACAGAAAACCTGTAGGAATCCGCTCTCCTGCAGCCGCATGCTCAGGGCTTACTCCTGTCTCTGCGCTTTGTGCCTTGAATTCTTATGTTAAGGACTATTTTTCATGGGTTGTGTTCAACTTTTAGATAGTTAGGTTTGAGGATGCCAAAGTTTTGTCTCAGAAAGGTAATACAGTGTGGAGGGCACTTGCCTTGCATGCAACTGACCTGGGTTCAACACTCCCAGCCCCCCAAAGAGTGATCTCAGAGTGCGGAGCCAGGAATAGTCCCTGAGCACTGACCGGTATGGCTTTAAAGAAAGGGGGGGCAGAGAGATAGTACAGTGGAGATGGCACTCGCCTTCACCATGCCTGGCCCAGGTTCCATCCCTGGCATCCCATATGGTCCCCGAGCACTGCCATGAGTAATTTCCTAAGCACAGAGCCAAGAATAACCCCTGAGCATCGCTGGGTGTGGCCCCCAAACCAAAAGCAAACAAAAAACAAAAAAAGGGGTTTGGGTATTGTTTGGGGGTCATACTCAGTGATACTCAAGGGCTACTCCTAACTCAGTGCTCAGGGGACCGTGTAGTGCTGGGGATGGAGCCCAGGCCTCTGCTCTCAGCACGCTGAGCACCTCCCCGGTCTGCATTTCCAGCTTTAAGCCTCAGTTTCCCTGGATGCTTAACTTTATTTCCCTGCACATCTGCTCTCTGAGCCGCTGAGTCACCCAGTGAGGCCTGGGTCAGGAGTGCTGTCAGCTGCTCTCTGACCTAAAACACCAGACACCCCACATCTGGGCACCCCGGATCCCGCTGCCAGGTTCACGCTCCTCTGGACCGGCAGGGAAAACTTTTGTCTGCCCTGGCTCGTTACTGGAAGTCGCGACCTGTCCCGGCACTGTCGGCCTGAGGATTCCTGTCCCTTCTCACAGCCATGTTCCTCCCCCCTTAAATGAAGCCACCGAGTGAGATGTGGGTCACTCCGGTCTCCCTGCCCTGTTTTAACCCCGCTAGCTGCCAATACCCAGTCTTCCAGTGAGATCCCCTTTGGAGATCTTAAGGGAGAGCACTTTGGGGGGAGTACCACCTCAGTGGCTGGGGAGAGGAGCCCCTGCCCAGCTGACTCATCTTCCTCCTGTGGCTGCAGGCCGGGTGGCGGACTTATCATCATCGACAGCATGCCTGACATCCGCAAGCGGAAACCCATCCCCCTCGTCAGCGACCTGGTGAGCGCTGCCCCTCCGCACCGCGGCCTGGGCCACTGTCCCATGCAGGTCCACGGTAATGTCCCACCTGTGCAACTTTCCCAGCAGACCTGGGGCAGTGCCTGACTCGTGCAGCTATCCCGGGCAGACCTGGGTGAGGGGCTGATGAGGCACTCTAGAACTAACAGTCTGGTTTCTGCCCTGCATGCTGCGTGGACGCTTTAGGCCATGGTGAGTAAGGGTGGGGGTCCCCAAGTCCTCCCCAGCACTCTCCCCCACATGTGATCTTCCACTTACCCCAAGGTCCGTGGCTTTTGGGAGCCATATTGCACGATTCACAGGTGGGGGAAGAACAAGTGACACCGCCATGGTTCTTGGTGGGCAGGCAGGGGGGGAGAGCTGGTTTTGTGACTGAGTTTGGGCCTGGCAGTGGGATGGGTGCTCACAATCTGGGGTTCCTTCTCATCCGGACCCTCTGTCGCTTTCCAATCCTTTGCGGGTTCTGCTGTGGATGCGGTGGCGGTGGCGCCCTGGGGCCCCCAGTCTCTGGTGCAGTCCAGGAAAGCCGGCATCACCTCTGCCTTGGCCTCCAGCACTTTGAACAACGAGGAACTGGTATGTGCGGCACTACTTGCAGATGGGGGAGGCAGTGGGCTAAGGGTCCCTTGGCTTCCAGAGCCCCAAAGCACAGTGCCAGGCAGTTCCTGTGCTCAGAGCCGCTGATTCCAGCACGGGGGTTGGGGAGGGACGGGTTCTGCATCCACTGACCTACTCCCTCCTTCCCCGCAGAAAAACCACGTTTACAAGAAGACCCTGCAAGCCTTAATCTACCCCATCTCGTGCACGACCCCCCACAACTTCGAGGTGTGGACGGCCACCACGCCCACCTACTGCTACGAGTGCGAGGGGTTGCTGTGGGGCATCGCGCGCCAGGGCATGCGCTGCACTGAGTGTGGTGTGAAGTGCCACGAGAAGTGCCAGGACCTTCTCAACGCCGACTGCCTGCAGCGTGAGTGGGGATTGCCGGACAGTGGAGAGGGCCTTGGACAGCTGCAGGGGGCGGAGTCAGAAAGGGCGGGACTCAATGGGCAGGTCAAGGGGCGGGGCCTAGAGGGCAGGACCTATGGGAAGGCTGAGGGGGCGGGACCCAATGGGCAGCTAAAGGGGTTGAGCCTAAATGGGCGGGATCCAATAGGCAGGCAGGGGCGGGAGGGGCGGGGTCAGCGCGGGAGGGGGGGCGGGGGAAGGGGTCAGGTGTGCTCTTCTAGGGAAGAGGCAGAACTATGGTGAGAATGGGTGTGGCCAGAGAAGGGGTTGAGCAAGAAAGGTCTGGTCTCCCGGGATACAGGGCCGAGCCAGAGGCAGGGTGGCTGCACTTCGTCAGTGGATGAGTGGAGCTCTCTGAGGTGGAACAGGCATGAGCCAAGGGCTGGGGGCCGGTCCGGCCAGACCCAAATCCCTTCCTGTATGAGGGTCAGATTAGGGCATGAGAAGGTTGTACGCAGCTGACCCAGGTTCTGTCTCTGACATCCCATATGGTCCCCTGAGCACACCGGGAGTGATCCCTGAGCGCAGAACGAAGAGGAACCCCTGAGCATCCCTGGGTGTGGCCCCAAAACCAAAACCAAAAGTTAGAGGGTGGGAAAAGTGGAACAGAGGAACAGGAGGGCCAGACGGGGGAGGCATGAGGTGTGGTACAGGGTTGAGGTCATTGCCAAGGGGACCCTAAAGAGGGCTGGAGCGATAGTACAGCAGGGAGGGCGTTTGCCTTGCACGCGGCCGACCTGGGTTCGATCTCCAGCGTTCCATATGGTCCCCTGAGCAGTGCCAGGAGTAATTCTTGAGTGCCGAGCCAGGAGAAACCCCTGAGCATCACTTGGTGTGACCCAAAAAGCAAAAAGGAGGGATCCTAAAGAGGGGCAGTGGTTTCCCCAGGAGAAAACTTGGGGGTGAGGGTTAGGGTTATCTCAGAGAGGGGCAGGGGGCTCAGATAGGGGCCATAGGGGTAGTACAGTGGGCAGGACATTTGCTTTGCAAACAGTCAATCCAAGTCCCATCCCCGGCACCCCACAGTGAGCCTGCCAGGAGTGATTCCTGAGGGCGGGGCCAGGAGTAAATCTTGAGCGTCACCAGGTGTGGCCCAGCTCAGTGAGGGAGTAGCTGGGATGAGGTTTGAAGGGATCGGGAGCCAGCGGGGCCTCTAGCCCGGCAGGGAGCTGCAGCCCTCACTTTCAGAGTCTGTGGAGGGGTAGGGTGCTGGTGCGGGGCGGGTGCAGGCCTGCGATGGTGGTGCGGTGCAGAGGGGCAGGTGTCAGCCACGCACAGCAGTGCCATGCAGGGGAGCGGGCACTGGCGTGGGATGGGTGCCAGCCCAACTCAGCGGTGCCCTTGCAGGGGCGGCGGAGAAGAGCTCCAAGCATGGCGCTGAGGACCGCACGCAGAACATCATCATGGTGCTCAAGGACCGCATGAAGATCCGGGAGCGCAACAAACCCGAGATCTTCGAGCTCATCCAGGAGATCTTTGCCGTGACCAAGTCAGCACACACACAGCAGATGAAGGCCGTCAAGCAGAGCGTGCTGGACGGCACGTCCAAGTGGTCAGCTAAGATCAGCATCACAGGTGAGGCGGGCCAGGCCCCTCCATCATGCTATGGGGGACGTGGAGGTGTGCAGACCCAGAGAAAGTTCTGGGCGATCCGTCTGTCCGGGAGATGGGAACCAGGCACAAGGGACATGGTCTCAAGGACAGGACACCTGCAGTTTCCACTGTAGGCCTGCAGATGGCAGCATGGAGCACACACCTGCCAGTATCCACCCAGGGCTAACCTGGCCCCTTCCCATCCTTCACTGGCTGAGGGCTCTCTGGGAGGCCACTGGCCGGCTTGGGTACCCAGAGGCGGCGGTGGCCAGGAGACACCTCTGCCAAGTGGCCAGTGGGTGTCTGTGGTTTCCTTATCCACCCATCCCCCCAGGATTGCCAGGGAAGCCCACACCTGCTTGGTGGGCAGGATAAGCTAGGGCACTTGCTTCATGGTGCTTGTGCCTACTCTGGTGCTGGTGCTCCCCACTCACTGGCCACAGGTGCTCGTGCCATCCAGGTCCCCACAGTGTTGTGACCCGGAGGCTTCCAGACCACAGGGGCAGCAGGAATAAGCGTGTGGCACGTGGGCAACTCCTGGGATTCAGCAGAGTCTCATGCTGGCCAGGCAGCCACGCTGGCCTCGGACTTCCCCAGGACTCTGCTGACGCTTCAGCCGCCTGTGTCTGTCCTGTGTGTCTGCAGTGGTCTGTGCCCAGGGCTTGCAGGCGAAGGACAAGACGGGATCCAGTGACCCATACGTCACCGTCCAGGTTGGGAAGACCAAGAAACGAACAAAGACCATCTATGGGAACCTGAACCCCGTGTGGGAAGAGAACTTCCACTTGTGAGTGGCTCTCGCACTAGTGGGGAGTCAGCAGAGGGGGTCAGCAGAGCCCCTACAGCCCCTGACCCCTCTCGCCCACAGCGAGTGCCACAACTCCTCCGACCGCATCAAGGTGCGTGTCTGGGATGAGGATGATGACATCAAGTCCCGGGTGAAGCAGCGCTTCAAGAGGGAGTCTGATGACTTCCTAGGGCAGACCATCATCGAGGTGCGGACGCTGAGCGGCGAGATGGACGTGTGGTACAACCTGGGTGAGCCCGCGGGGATGCACAGTTTGGGGAAGAGGGGGCAGAGGGGCCGATCTGATGAAAGAGGCAGGGTCTACCATTCCCAGCCTGATGGGGAAGCCCAATCTGTTGAGGGAGGCAGGGTCTGTCATTCCCAATCTGATGAGGGAGCAGAGTCTGCCTTTCCCAATCTGCTGGAGGAAGTCCAGTCAGCTCAGGAGGCAGGATCCATGGAACCCAAATTTGATGAGTGAGGGAGGCAGGATCTGTGGACTCCGATCTAATGAGGGAGGCAAGGTCTGAGAGTCCCAATCTGATGGAGGAGGCCAGGTCAGGCCTGGGCCCCAATCTGATGTCAGAGTAGGCTGTATGGATCCTTACCTAACAGAGGGGGTGGGGCCAATGAGTCTAAGCTGAGGGGACAGAAAAAGAAAAACAGTCTGAGGGACGCCGCAAGGCCCAGGAGCTGTGGCTTGCTGAGAAAAAATATATAGGCTCCTTCCTGATGGGGGAGGCAGGAAGCAAGACTTGGAGCTCCTAGTCTGAGAAGAGAGGCACTGCCCAGTAGCGCTCAGAGTCCATCCTGCGACGCTTGGTCTGCTGGGGAAGGCAGGGCCCAGGGCCTCTCACCTGAAGAGGAAGGCGCACCCTGGAACTTCCCAGCGCACTCTGCTAGGAAGCAGAGGTGGATGGAAAAGCAGGCCCGAGGCAGTAGCCGGGGCCTCTCCGGAGGTCAGGGCCAGGGTCAGCAAGCAGTGCTGCATGCCACCTCCCTCCTTTCGCTCCCGCAGACAAGCGCACAGACAAGTCAGCCGTGTCAGGCGCCATCCGGCTGCACATCAGTGTGGAGATCAAAGGCGAGGAGAAGGTGGCTCCCTACCATGTGCAGTACACCTGCCTGCACGAGGTGAGGCTTGCCCTCCCAGCACCTGACAGCAAAATTCCTCCTCACCCATCATGGCCCAGTGCCCTGCCCCCTCCCCTGGGAAACTTGCCAGGATCTCAGCACTGGGTGCCTCCATCTGTCCCAACCCCGACAAGGGAGAGCTATTCAGCTCTTCACCTGGGTGCTCCTGGACAGAACCCCCTTATTGAATGAATAAATGATACTGAGTGACTAGGCAAAAGGAGGGAGGGATACATGGAGGGCCAGTCAGGTGGGTGTATGGTTGGGCCCTTGGAGTTCCAATGAGTTGACAGGGTCAGGGGGACTAGGGAGTACTTAGACGATGGGTCCGTAGAGCTTGGAAAGATGGGGGGTAAGGGAGATAGATGGGTGGACGTGTGGGTCCATTAACAGATGAGTTGGAAGGTGGGTTTGAGGGTAGTTGGGTGGGAAGATGGATGGGTGATGGATCGGGGGGTGGGAGGATGGATGGGTGATGGATCAGGGGGGGTGGGCGGATGGATGGGTGATGGATCGGGGGGGTGGGCGGATGGATGGGTGATGGATCAGGGGGGGTGGGCGGATGGATGGGTGATGGATCAGGGGGGGTGGGCGGATGGATGGGTGATGGATCAGGGGGGGTGGGCGGATGGATGGGTGATGGATCGGGGGGGGTGGGCGGATGGATGGGTGATGGATCGGGGAGTGGGAGGATGGATGGGTGATGGATCGAGGGGTGGGAGGATGGATGGGTGATGGATCGGGGGGTGGGAGGATGGATGGGTGATGGATCGGGGGGGTGGGCGGATGGATGGGTGATGGATCGGGGAGTGGGAGGATGGATGGGTGATGGATCGAGGGGTGGGAGGATGGATGGGTGATGGATCGGGGGGGTGGGCGGATGGATGGGTGATGAATCGGGGAGTGGGAGGATGGATGGGTGATGGATCAGGGGGGGTGGGCGGATGGATGGGTGATGGATCGGGGAGTGGGAGGATGGATGGGTGATGGATTGAGGGGTGGGAGGATGGATGGGTGATGGATCGGGGGGTGGGAGGATGGATGGGTGATGGATCGGGGGGTGGGAGGATGGATGGGTGATGGGGGGGTGGGAAGATGGATGGGTGATGGATCGGGGGTGGGCAGATGGATGGGTGATGGCAGATGGGACCTGAAACGCTGGACGTTGGCCGCTGGGTGGGTCGTGAGTGGGTGAGGGAACCCGCGAGGCTGCAGGGAGACTCGACACACCTCCGCCTGGGCCTGGCCCTGCCGTGCTTCCCAGCACTCACTGGCTCCTCCTGCGGCCACAGAACCTGTTCCACTTCGTGACGGATGTGCAGAACAATGGGGTGGTGAAGATCCCAGACGCCAAGGGGGATGACGCATGGAAGGTTTATTACGACGAGACGGCGCAGGAGGTGGTGGACGAGTTCGCCATGCGCTACGGTGTTGAGTCCATCTACCAGGCCATGACGTGAGGCGCGGGTGGGCGTGGGTGGCCCCCTGGGGTCCAGGGCGGTCCAGGCAGATGAGAGCCAGGGTGAGGAGCAGAGGTGTGCCAGGGGGCACAGGAGGGACCTAGGGAGGAGGCTGGAGTGAGAGCATAGCAGGAAGGGCGCTGACCTTGCCAGCTGATGATCCCAGCCTGCCAGGAGTGACTCCTGAGTATTGCTGGGTGTGGCTTCTCTCCCTAAATCTCCCCCAAGCAGAAAAAGGCAGGAGCAGGGGCTGCTGGGGTCAGGCTGTCTGCCCGGGGGTGTCAGGCCCAGCGCCCCTGTTCCCCCAGGCACTTCGCCTGCCTGTCCTCCAAGTACATGTGCCCGGGGGTGCCGGCCGTCATGAGCACGCTGCTGGCCAACATCAATGCCTACTATGCGCACACGGCTGCCTCCACCAACGTGTCCGCCTCCGACCGCTTCGCTGCCTCCAACTTTGGGGTCAGTCCCGGGGATGGGGGCCTGGGATCAGTTCCCGTGGGGATGGGGCTGGGTGAGGGATGGGGGCCCTGACTTGTGTGTCTGCTAAGTCCTTGCCCTCTGCTGGCCTTGCCCATGCTGGGGACTGTGCTGGTGGCTTGGGGCATGCTGGCCAGCGGCCATGTCCCTGCCGTCCCCAGAAAGAGCGCTTCGTGAAACTCCTGGACCAGCTCCACAACTCCCTGCGCATCGACCTGTCCATGTACCGGGTAAGACGTGTGGCCACCCCTGAGACCTGCGAGCTGCAGTGACCGGGCCCCGCGTCTCCCCTAAAACACTGACCCCCCCATCACCCAACAGAACAACTTCCCTGCTAGCAGCCCGGAGCGGCTGCAGGACCTGAAGTCCACCGTGGACCTGCTCACCAGCATCACCTTCTTCCGCATGAAGGTCCAGCCCCCACTCCTCGCCGCGGTCCACCCCACCCCAACGTGCCGCGCCCCCCCCCCCCCCCCGCTCGACTTGCTGTGCCCCGCTCCGCCCCGCCCCGCTGTGCCTCAACCCCCACCCCAGCCCAGCTGTGACCCCTCCCCGCCCCGCCCTCCCTGATGCCCGGCCATGCCTCCGTCCCTCCAGGTTCAGGAGCTGCAGAGCCCGCCGCGTGCCAGCCAGGTGGTGAAGGACTGCGTGAAGGCGTGCCTGAACTCCACCTACGAGTACATCTTCAACAACTGCCATGAGCTCTACAGCCGCGAGTACCAGGCTGACCCGGTGAGCAGGCGGGGGCCACGGCTGAGGCACCCACAGGCCGCCGGCCCTCGGTGCTGGACACTGCTCTGCCCCTCTGCGGCCTCGCTTGGCTCTGGGGGGGCCTGCGGGAGACAGCGGCGTTCCTGATCTCGGCTTCTCTGACTCAGTTTACTGAGATCACCCCATTCGTGCTTCAGATCGGAAAGTCCACAGGATGCTCCTGAGCTGGGTCATTAGCCCTGTCCTGGGGCGGGGGGATCCTGGGTTTCTGTTTTGTTTGGCTTTGGGGCCACACCCCCGGGTGCTGGGGCTGAGTCATGGCTTTGCACTCGGGGATCACTCCTAGTGATGCTCAGGGGGCCCTGCGGGACTCCAGCACCCTCCCTGCTGTCCCATCAATCTGACCTCCAGGGCTGACCGTCCCCTTAGCCCCCCTTCTGCTAGGTGGGAGCACTTTGGGTGGAGTCAGTCTGGCTTGGAGCCAAGTGAGCTGAGATCCCCTCTCCCTGCTGACTTGGGCTCAGGAGTGAATAAAGAGCCGCTTGGCCCTCCACCCCCGCCCAGACCCGGCTCCCATTCAGTCCTGTGGCCCGACTCAGTAGCACCCGATCCTGCCCTCCCACGAGCAGAGCAGAGCTGAACTGGGTCTGAGTTCCCAGCTGCCCACATGGGGGTCGCTGCTGCCCACGGCGGGTGGGCTGGTACCCTCACCCCAGGGGTGCAGAGCCCACCACCCGCCCACCAGGGTCAGGCGCCCCCTCATCTCAAGCTCCCGGGGCTCATCTGAGCCAAGTTCGTCGGGGCCGTGTGTCCCGAGACCCGTTGCCGTCCTCTCCATCCCTTGGCTGAGGGCTCAGGCTCTGCGCTTCCCTTGGGCTTTGTCAGGGTGCGGGAAGCCCTCTGTGGGTGGGCTCACATGAGTTCAGTCCCTCCACACAAGCCCCCCGCCGCGCCCCCTGAACCGCCCCTGCCCCAGCCCCAGGAGCCCCATCTCCCCTGCTCCTTGCAGGCGAAGAAGGGGGAGGTTCCCCCGGAGGAGCAGGGCCCCAGCATCAAGAACCTGGACTTCTGGTCCAAGCTCATCACCCTCATCGTGTCCATCATTGAGGAGGACAAGAACTCGTACACGCCGTGCCTCAACCAGTGCGTCTGCGCTGGCGCCCCAGTGGGCCAGCGGCCAGGCCTGCGGGAGCATGCTCATGCATTGCATGCGTGTGTGTGCATGCATGTGTGTGTGCCTGCGGGAGCATGTGTGTGCCTGTGCGAGTGTGCTTGTGTGTGTGTGTGTGCCTGCAGGAGCATGTGTGTGCATGTGCAAGTGTGCTTGTGTGTGTGTGTGCCTGCGGGAGCATGCATGTGTGTGCCCGCATGTGTGTATGTCTGCAGGAGTGTGTGTGTGCATGCATGTGTGCCTGTGGGAGCATGTTTGTGTGCCTGCGATCATTCGTGTGTGCCTACATGAGTGTGTATGCATGTTTGTGTGCCCGCTTGAGTGTGCATGTGTGGATGTGTGTATATATGTAAGTACATGCATGTTTGTGCCTGCCTGAATGCGTATGTTCATGTGTATGTACGTATGCGTTCCTGTGTGAGCATGTGTGTGCCTGTGTAAGCATGCTTGTGCCTGTGTGAGCGTGTATGCATGTGTGCCTGCGTGAGTGTATGTATGTGTGAATTTGTGTATCTATGTGTGTGCTTGAGTGTGTGTGCATGTGTATGAATGTGTGTGTGCGCATGTGTGAGCATGTGTGTGTTACTGTGTGTATGTGCCTGAAGACTCACATCATTTGGTGCTTTGATGACTGCGTCCAGTTGCTTTGTAGCTTTTGGGTCTGTGGAGCAGCTGTCCCACAGGTGGTCTCATAGGGTCACCTAGGCACCGTTTGCAAAAGCAGACTTGAAAATGTGGGACAAGAGAGTCCAGTGGGTCGAGAATTTGCCCTACAGAACCAAAAGCATGAAACAGTGCACACGTGCACCGTTACTGGAGCATTTTATACATGTTGACCCATGTGGCTGTGTATGTGGCCATGTGCTTTTGTACATGTTCAGAGCCACGAGTCACAGTAGATCGTGTGCAGGTATTTACTGGTGCTCAGTGCTATGTGAGTGGTTTTACAGGAAAATTGCCTTATATTCCCAAGGTATGTTGGAGGGTTTTGTTGTTTTTGTTTTGGGCCCACACGCAGCAGTGCTCAGAGCTGACTCCTGGCTCTGTACTCAGGGATAATTTCCGGTGGTGCTCAGGGAACCATAAGGGGTGCCAGGGATGAAACCTGGGTCAGGTGTGTGCAAGGCCAGCGCCCTCTCTGTGTGAGGCCTAAACGCAGGCTCCTCAGAAGCCATGACAAGCTACAGCTATCATTAAGTCTCACCTAGGCCTCAGTTTCTGTTTCCCCAGAGCGGAACTGCAGTTTCTGGTAAACTCCCAATTGAGTAATTCACCTAGATAAGAAACTGGGCAGTTAGATCTGACCAGTTATGAGGGGTCACTGCATCCTTCTTGAAAAGAACCACAGACCATTACTGGTACCTCCTGTCTAATTGCTGACCACTATTGTAATAGGGCAATGCTGAAAATAGACCAGTATAGGGTCTGGAGAGATAGCATAGCGGGTAGGGTGTTTGCCTTGTACGCAGCCGACCCGGGTTCGATTCCCAGCACCCCATATGGTCCCCTGAGCACCAGGAGTAACTTCTGAGTGCAGAGCCAGGAGTGACCCCTGTGCATCGCCAGGTGTGACCCAAAACGCAAAACAACAAGAACAACAACAAAACCAGTATATAAACTGCTCCTCAACTAAACCCTATATAAACTGCTTGTGAGTTGGAGTCGGGGTCCTTGTCAAGATTCCACTGCATTGGATGAGTTCGCAGTTGGGGATCTGAAACAACACCCACTGTCCTGTCCCTCCAGCCCAGATACCCTTAGTAGATGGGGGTCCTTTTGTGTATCGCTATGGTCTGAGGCTCAGCCACGTAACTGAGGACAATCAAGAGCGTTGTGTGTCTCGCAGTCATCTCTGCTGTGTCCAGTGTTGGTCTGTGGATTATTTGTGCAGTTGTCGGTGTTGGCCAATAAGCTGTTGTGTTTTATCTTCCTGAGATGAAGGCTAAAGGGCTTCCAATTCTGGGCAGTGAAATCAAGCGTGGGTGCAGGAGAGGGGAGGACGATGGTCGGTGATGAATGAGAGGTGGGTGGGTGGACTGGAAGGATGGATGGATGGGAGGATGAATGCGTGAGTGAGTGAACGGATGAAGAGTGAACCGAGGGGTGGACGGATGGATGGTGACATGGCAGAGATGTGGACGAATGCTTGGAGGGGCAGAGGGAGGATGGGAGGGAGGATGGGAGGGTGGAAGGATGGAAGGGGGAGGGAGGGAGGACGGAGGGGTGGGGGTAGAGGGGTGGTGGAATGGTGGACAGTGGGTGGGGGCTCAGGGTGCCATGGGACCTGGCAGTCAGCGTCTATGCAGGCACTTGCATGCAGTCCCCCGCCTGCACACACCGCCCATGGCGAGGACGCGCCCAGCCCCATCCTCAGTGCCCCCCTACCCCGCCCAGGTTTCCACAGGAACTGAACGTGGGCAAAATCAGCGCCGAGGTTATGTGGAGCCTGTTTGCCCAGGACATGAAGTACGCCATGGAGGGTGAGTGCCTGCCAGGCCCCTCAGCCCCTTCGCAGTCCTGGGCACGCACAGAGCCCTGAACTCTCTCCCCTACGTTCCTGCCCCCCCGCCACCCCCCCCCCCCCCCGCAGAGCACGACAAGCACCGACTGTGCAAGAGTGCCGACTACATGAACCTGCACTTCAAGGTCAAGTGGCTGTACAACGAGTATGTGGCTGAGCTGCCCGCCTTCAAGGACCGTGTGCCCGAGTACCCCGCGTGAGTGACCTCGCAGGGTCCCCAGCACCCCACCAGGATTGAGTCCTGGGCACCCCCAGGTGTGGCCCCAAACCAGAGCAGCAGTGGAGAGAATCCGAGTCGGGCGTGTGGGGCTCCTGGACCCTCCTGCCAAGCTGGCCCTGGGCCTGGTCCCAGGTTTGTTTCAGGGGTAGAGGCAGGCGAGGCCTGAGAGGGGGCGTCCTGTGGGGGCGGGGGCCCAGGAAGCAGCGCCCCAGCCCAGATCGCCGCCCAGTGGTTTGGGTGTTTGGTTTTGGGGGGCTGGAGCCATACCCGGTGGTGCTCAGGGATCACTCCTGGCAGGGTTGGCTGTCTGCCAGCCCAACCCCGCACCTGGCCCTGTGCTGACCCCGGCCCTTTCTAGGTGGTTCGAGCCCTTCGTCATCCAGTGGCTGGACGAGAACGAGGAGGTGTCTCGTGACTTCCTGCATGGGGCACTGGAGCGGGACAAGAAGGACGGGGTGAGCCGCTGCCCTGCTGCCCGGTCCTGTCCCGCTCTGCTCCAGGCCTCGGGCTCGCCCGTGTCCGACGGACCCTGAGCTCGGGCCAGCAGGCATGCGCACGCCCAGGAGATTATCAGCTCACCCATACGCGCCTTCAGTTCCGCTCAGAACTGGACGCATGGAGCAGGGCCTGGGCACGCGGGGGCCGCCGTGGGTCTTGCTCTGGGTCTGGAGAGTTTTCCCAGACACTCACTCCCTCCTCCCCCTGCCCACAGTTCCAGCAGACCTCGGAGCACGCACTGTTCTCCTGCTCCGTGGTGGACGTCTTCTCCCAGCTCAACCAGAGCTTCGAGATCATCAAGAAGCTCGAGTGTCCGGACCCGCAGATCGTGGGCCACTACATGAGGCGCTTTGCCAAGGTGGGGCCTTGTGGGTCAGGACAGGACGGGCTGGGTTGTGGGGGCGCTCAGTGGGGGGAGGGTTCCTGGGCAGTGCTGAGGCTGGCCTACCCCCAGATCCTGAGCTGACCTGCGTGCCTGGGGTCCCTGGCCTGGCCCAGGCTGGCTTGGAGCTGGGACAGAGGAACCATGTGGGTCTCTTCTAGAGCCATCAGGGCCCTTCTGGGAGGCAGCGAGGGCCCAGGGGGCATTGGTCACTCCGAGCACAGGGCCAGGGACAGCCCCGAGCACTGCTGATGGTGGCCCTGAGCCGCGGAAACCAATTGTCTCCCCACCGTGATGCCACCCCGGCCCCCCGCCCTCCTTGGGAGCAGAGCGGGGTTCAGGCCCAGGGCACTAGTGAGGCTCCAGAGCGGTGACGAGCCTCTGAACCGCCCCTCACAGTCCCCTGTGCCCCCCAGACCATCAGCAACGTCCTCCTGCAGTACGCGAGCATCGTGTCCAAGGACTACGCCTCCTACTGCTCCAAGGATAAGGAGAAAGTGGTGACCTGCGGCGGCCCCTCCACCCCACGCCCCTCCTGACCACATCATCCAGCCCTGCACAACCCCCCCCTCACCTAGCCCTGCCCCCCACAGCCCCTCCTGACCCACCCCTGCCCTGACCCCATCATCCAGCCCTGCACACACCCCCTTCTGACCAGCCCCGCCCCCCACAGCCCCTTCAGCCTCACCCCTGCCCCCAACAGCCCCTCCAGACCCACCCCTGCCCCAACTGAATCATCCAGCCCGACATACATCCCTGTCCTGACCCAGCCCTGGCCCCCACATCCCCTCCAGCCCCACCCCTGCCCCCATCCCATCATCCGGCCATGCACACATCCCTGTCCTGACCCAAGCCCTGCCCCCATACCAAACCCCACCTGCCCGTGATCGTGTCCCCCTCCCTCGCCCTGCTCCCCTGCCTCCCTGCCCACACCCCCAGGCCCCCCAGGCCCCACTGCCTGTGCATGCTGGCCCCAGTCTGCATGTGTCTGTGACTCCGAGTGTTGGAGGTTGGGTGGGGGGTCTGCAGATGAGGGAACTGCCTTTCCCGCCCCTATGTGGGAGTAGGAGATTGTGGGAGTGTCCCGGGCCCCTGCATGTCGACCCAGTGGGGGGTGATCTTCCTTCTGCCTCCCTGTTCCCAGAGGAAAGCCCCTCCCTGCCCCCCAGACTGATTCCTCAGCTCACTCCGCGGACCCCCAACTCGGACCCCTGGCCGTGGCGCGGGGCGGGGAGCAAGGGGAAGGGGCCCTGTGCCCTAACCGCCCTCCTCACTCTCCCCTCAGCCCTGCATCCTCATGAACAACACGCAGCAGCTCCGGGTGCAGCTGGAGAAGATGTTTGAAGCCATGGGCGGGAAGGAGGTAAGGCGGGGGAGGAGAGTGGACCCTCGGGGAGCCGTGGGATGGAGGAGGTGGACCCTGCAGCCACCCCCTCTCTTGCAGCTGGACGCGGAGGCCAGCGACACCCTGAAGGGGCTGCAGGTGAAGCTGAACAACGTCCTGGACGAGCTCAGCCGCGTGTTCGCCACCAGGTGTGCCCCCCAGCAGTAGGGTCCGGGGCACATCTGGGAGGGAGGGAGGCCCTGGGGGAGGGGCCGGGGGAGGGTCTAGGGGAGGGGTCTGAGGGAGGAGCCGGGGAAGGGACGGGGAGAGGCCCTGGAGGAGGGACTGGGGAGGGGGGCCATGAAGGATCCTGGAGGAAGGACCTGGAGGGGTTCTGGGGGAAGGATGGGGAGAGGCCTGGGGGAGGGCCTAGGGGCGGGACTTAGGGGAGGGACCTGGGGGCCTGGAGAGGGGCCTAGGGGAGGGGCCTGGGGAGGACCTAGGGGAGGGGCCTGGGGAGGGCTTAGGGGAGGAGTTTGGGGGAGGGGCCTGGGGCGGGCCTAGAGGGGGGCCTGGGGGAGGAGCTTGGGGGAGGGGCTCTGGGAGAGGGCCTAGGGGCGGGACCTAGGGGAGGGGCCTGGGGAAGACCTAGGGGCGGGGCCTAGGGGCAGGGCTCTGGGGGAGGGGCCTGAGGGCCTAGGGGAGAGGCCCTGAGGGAGTGTTCAGGGGAGGGGCCCTGGGAAGGGGGAGAAGGTGGGCCCTGGGGTGGTAGGTGTGGTGGGATCCAGCTCTAAGGCTTCAGAGCCTGCAGTCCCCCACTGTGTGACGCGCACCCCCGTGCCAGCTTCCAGCCGCACATAGAGGAGTGTGTAAAGCAGATGGGCGACATCCTGAGCCAGGTGAAGGGCACCGGGAACGTGCCCGCCAGCGCCTGCAGCAGTGTGGCCCAGGACGCAGACAACGTGCTCCAGCCCATCATGGACCTGCTGGACAGCAAGTGAGTCCAGAGAGGGACTCTGCGGGCGGCTGGCTGGGGGTGGGGACGGGGCCGAGGAGAGGTCAGCAGCGAGCGCAGAGGGACAGGCAGGCTGGGGGCAGTGAGGGAAGGCGGGGACTCAGCCACGGGCTGGCAGAGGGGGGGTTGGGCACAGGATGGAGCACGGTCTGAGGCACGGACAGCTAGTCAGCGGTGTGGGCAGTTGGCTGACTGTTGGACGGAGGGTGCGTGGATGGGCGCAGAGGAATGGTGGATGGAAGGGAGTTGGGAAGGAGGGAGGGAGGGGGGAGAGCACTGGACTCCACCGCTGCAGGAGGGCTGCTTGTCCCCCCCCGCAGCCCCTCCCCAGCTGGATTCCTGTGCATTTATCTCCCCCTCCAACCCCCTCCTCCCTCCTCCTCCTTTCCCCTCCCCCACTCAGTCTGGCCCCACCGCACCTGGTGGGCTGTCCCCCTTCCCCTCAGGGGAGACCCCTAGGTCACCCAGAGCCTCCCTGCACCCCGTGTGGCCCCTCCCATGTGTGCACGTGCGCCTCGAGGTGCCCTGCGCCCGCCACGCCCTCTCAGGCCTGCCCCTCGCCCCCAGCCTGACTCTCTTCGCCAAAATCTGTGAGAAGACGGTGCTGAAGCGGGTGCTGAAGGAGCTCTGGAAGCTGGTGATGAACACCATGGAGAAGACGGTGGTGCTGCCGCCGCTCAGCGACCAGACGGTGAGGCCCCTGGGCACCCCTGGGGGCCACAGGACATGGAGGGCTCAGCTGTGGGGGCAGGGCACTTGAACTCCAGACTTCCTGAGCTTCTGGGTCCACACAGATTCAAAGAGGGAAGGCAGCATCGACCTTGACGTTCAGAAGGGACAAAGAATTCGGGGATCAAGGTCAAAGGTCAGAAGTCAAGTTTGCATGGGTCAGGCGGAGTTTGAGGTCATGTAGGTGAGACAATATGGCAAGGGTCAAGGTCATGGGGGCCAGGCAGAGGTTCAGACTAAAGTGTCTGGAAAGGTCACGGTCAAAGGTCAGTCATGAGGTCATGCAGAAGTCAAGGTCATATGGGATCAGGCATATGTCAAGGTGTCAAGGTCAGAGAGGTCATCGTCGTATGGGGTGTGGCGAAGGTCAAGGCCATAGGGGTTAGAGGTCACAGGTATGTTGGACAGGTCAAGGCCAGAGGTTAGGTAGGCAGAGGTCAGTGAGGTATCTGGGATCCCTCTGAGCATACATGGGGCAGTGATCCTTGGGATCGTGGTGCCTGCCAGGCTACTGAGGTCCGGACGGCCTAGGGAGTTGTTTTGAAGGGGGCAAGCACAGCAAACCAAAGAGCACTTCTGGGAGGTTACAGGGGTGTGCGAGAGGGCACGGGCACCTGGAAGCCCCAGGCTGGGCCCCTCCGTGCAGTCTCGGCCACCTGCTTGGCCCCCACGACTCACGGTAACTTATCTCCCCTCCCCACCCTCCCCGCCGCTCACCCCCACCTCGGCTGACAGATGATCGTAAGTAGAGTTCCGTCTGTCCGTCTGTCTGTCGTCCGCTCTGTGTCTGGACTCGGCCCATCCTGTGGCTGCACCCCACCCCCACCCAACGCCCTGCCCTCGGCACCCCGCGGACCCCAACTCTGTCTGTCCCACCTCCTGCCTAGATGTGCCTGTGTCTGTGGGGTGGGGCATGGGGCGGGGCATGGGTGGAAGCCACGCCCACGGGAACCGCACCCACGTGGAAAGTCATACTGAAAGCCACACCCACTGAGAACCACACCACAGGGAAGCCACGCCCACTAGATCCACACCCACACGGAAGCCACGCCCACCGGGAAACCACAGCCACGGGGACACGCCCACCAGGAACTACACCCACACGGGGAGCCCTGCCCCCTCGGGCCACGGCCACCCCACCACCAGCTAGGAGGAGGATCAGAGCCATCCAGCCTCCCTTTTGCTTTGTATTTTTTTTCTTTTTTTTTGGAGGGGAGTCATACCCAGCGACATACAGGGGTTACTCCTGGCTCTGCACTCAGGAATTACTCCTGGCGGTGCTCGGGGGACCTTAAAGGATGCCGCGGACCGGCGAACACCCTACCCACTGTACTATCGCTCCAACCCCTTGCTCTGAATTCTTGACGTCACCCCCAAAATACAGACTCACCTGACAGGGGTGGGTTTCCTGCTCAGCTGCTCCAAGAACCCCTCCCAACCCTCCCCAGCCCGCCTCCCAGTACACACAGTCCAGTACCTCCTAAGGCACACAGCCTCCTCAGCCTCTCCCCGTCCCCACCTCGTGACTTTGAGGTGTCCTTGCTCCTCCAAGCCCCAGTCCTGTCTGCAGGAAGGGGATTGAGGTAGCACAGAGGCAGGGCCATCCCGGGTGGCTAGGACAGGGCCGCACACTCAGGCCTCCGTGACAACTGACTCTTTTGGCAGTGACCATCTTGATCAACTTTGGCAGTGGCCAGACTCAGACCTTCACTTGCCTGCTGAATGCCCAGACCAGGCTCCTCCTGGCTGGGCGCTGAGTCCTGCAGAGGGGCAGAGCGGGACTGAGGAGGGGTGGGAGCTGCCTGCAAAGTCCTAAGAGGGGACTCCGACGCCCCTCCCTCCACGTGTACAGTAAACGCCAGTGGTGCTATTTCCTATTTCCCAGCCTCTCCTCCCCCTCTCCTCCCCCTCCCCCTCCCTCCCCTGCCTCCGCCCTCCATCTCTCCCTCCTTTTCTCTCTCTGTCTCTTTGTCTCTACATTTCTCTCCTCACTCTCTTCTTCTGACTTCCGTTCTGTATCCCTACCCTCCCCGCCCTGCCCCTCCCTTACCCACCCCCCACCCCCCGGGCACTCCCCTCCAAGTCAGTCTGTGACCCTGTGGCCTTGTCTCTGCAGGGCACCCTCTTGAGAAAACATGGCAAGGGATTAGAAAAGGTAAAACGGGTCTCGCCCCCCAAGGCCAGAGCCCTGGTGCGTGTGCGCGTGCGTGCAGGCCGGCTGGGGTAGGGTGTGGGTGCCCGGAGGCCACCACAGCTGGGCTAAGGTTCTGTGGCAGCCCGCGTGGGAGCCTGGACCGAAACATGCTTTTCTCTGCAGCTGGTTTTGTTCTCACATTCTAAGGAGACGGGTGCTGCAGCAGCCCATGCACAGCTGCCCGTTGTGCACCTGTGCAGCGGTGTGTGCAGGCGTGTGTGTGTGTGTGTGTGTGTGTGTGTGTGCGCGCGTGTGTGTGAACTCCTGGCGCGCCCTGGATAAGCCCGGAGCCTGCCTGTGTTGAGGGGACTGTGACCCCCCCCAGGGTACTTTTTAGACTCAGGGGTTGGGGGTCGGTCCTGGGAACTGGAGGAGAGATCTGAGCCCCCTTTTGAGGCCCCCAAGGAAGAAGTGGGGTTGGGGTCCCCTGGGCCGCGGGCAGGGAAGTCCCACTGCTCACATCCCCGCAGCCCACGCTGACCCTGCTGGTTCTCTTCACAGGGCCGGGGGAGACCGCAGACCCACTCGGATGTAAGCCCGGTCCCCTCCCCGTCTGTCCCCCTTCCCCTGCCTCTGTGGGTTGTGCAGTGGGCTGGGGTGTCCTGTGCTCCGTCCGTTCGTCCGTCCGTCCGTCTGGGGGATCTTCCTCTGTCTGTCTTGTTCGTCGGGAGGTGTTGGGTACAGCAGGTGGGAGGAGGGTATGGCAGGGGAAACTGAGGCACAGGCAGCAGGGGGTGGAAGGAGAGTAAGCAGGAGCCCATTCACAGCCCTGGTGGTGACTCAGGAGAATCATCTGCTTCTGCGCTGCCGGACCCCCAGACTCCCCCGCCTGTCCTCATTAGCGGGGTGGGACTCAGGGACGGTGGGGGTGAGGGCGCCTGCTGGATTCGCGTCCACCAGCCGTCATCATGTGAGGGCCTTAGTGCACGCCTGTGACTTTGCAGCAAGAGGGAAGTTTCAGAGAGGGCGCAGGACTCTCCCAGGGCCACACAGCCGCAGCCAGGATACCCTCTTGGTGGCACCTCTCTTGGGGGAAGCGGGGAGCCTGGGGGTGTGTTTTGTGGGTAGGACTCTGCTGCCTTGGAAAAGTCAAGTCACAGCTCTTCTGAATGAAGAACACCGTCCTCCGGAAAACGGGGCCCTCCGGGGGCATTGGAGCCATCACATGGTCCTCTCCAGATACCCTGAGCACCTCCAAACCATGCCACAATGTGGGGCACACACACGCTCATGCACACAGTCACACACACTCATGCACACACACATGAACTCATGCACACACACATGCACACACACGTGCACTCACACTCACATACACTCATGCACATTCACACAAATACTCATGCACACTCGCACACATGTACTCATGCACATTCACGTGCACTCAGCACTCACACACATACACTCATGCACACTCACTTATGTACTCATACACCAAACTCATATATACCGTCACACACATTCCTGGCAATACACTCATGCACACACACACTCATACGCACTCACATTCATGTACACACTCATATAAACACTGCACTCATACACACACATGAATGAACATTTTTATACACACTCATGCACTCTCCCACTCACTCATGCACAAAAACTCAAACTCATACACACTCCCACTCCCACTCATGCAAACTTCTACGCTTGTACACACTGTCACAGTCTCACACACTGTTACACACAGATACACACTGTCACACTGTCACATTCACACTGCCATTGCAGCCTGCTCTCCTGTGGGAGAGCATAGAGGGGTGGGTTTGGGAGGGCAGCACCCCTTTCACTGGGATTTCTGGGGAGATCTCACCACCCCCTTTGAGGGGCTCTGCCCCGCCCCAGGCCTGTGGCCAGCATTCACATGGTGTCCAGGGGTCGCGGGCCTGGGCTCGAGTCCCTCCCTCACCCCGGGCGGGTCTGTTGTTCCTTGCAGGGAACCCAGATGATCTTCAATGCAGCCAAGGAACTGGGGCAGCTGTCGAAGCTCAAGGTGGGCTCCCAACGGCATGGGTCCTGCACGGGCATGTGCTTTTGCAAACTCAATTTAGAATGACTTAAGGGGCTGGAGCAATAGCACAGTGGAGAGGGCATTTGCCTTGCACGTGGCCAACCTGGGTTCAATCCCTTGCATCCCATATGGTCCCCCGAGCACCGCCAGGAGTGATTCCTGAGTGCATGAACCAGGAGTAACCCCTGAGCATCTCCGGGTGTGACCCAAAAAGAAAAAAAATAGAACAACTTAAACTCAGTTTAGCTGTTCTAGTGTGCTGGAAAGAGCTGCATGGTTCGTGTTCAGGTTACGGCATGATCAAGGGGACAGGCTATTTTTAAAAATAAAGCATCTTGTTCTTTTATGAACAAAACATTTAAAAAATAGGGGCTGGAGCGATAGCACAGCCATTAGGGCATTTGCCTTGCATGCGATTTGCCTTGCACCGACCAGGGTTCGATTCCCAGCATCCCATATGGTCCCCCGAGCACCACCAGGAGTGATTCCTGAGTGCATGAACCAGGAGTAAACCCTGAGCATCTCCGGGTGTGACCCAAAAAGGAAAAAAAAATAGAATAACTTGAACTCAGTTTAGCTGTTCTAGTGTGCTGGAAAGAGCTGCATGGTTCGTGTTCAGGTACGGCATGATCAAGGGGACAGGCTATTTTTAAAAATAAAACATCTTGTTCTTTTACGAACAAAATATTTAAAAAATAGGGGCTGGAGCGATAGCACAGCCGTTAGGGCGTTTGCCTTGCGCGCAACCGACCAGGGTTCGATTCCCAGCATTCCATATGGTCCCCTGAGCACCACCAGAAGTAATTCCTGAGTGCATGAGCCAGGAGTATCCCCTGTGAGTCGCCGGGTGTTACCCAAAAAGAAGAAAAAAATTTTTTCTTAAATAAAAGTAGACAAATCAAATAAGGCCCCGTGCCAGTTACATGTGGGGTGGAGACACCTCCAGCTCTGCAGAGTAGAGACCCGCGACCAGCCCTGCCGTGCTCAGCCGCCTCTTCCTCCATCATCAGGACCACATGGTGCGAGAGGAAGCCAAGAGCTTAACCCCAAAGCAGTGTGCCGTGGTGGAGCTGGCCCTGGACACCATCAAGGTCAGAAGCACCATCCATTGGGTGGGGCTGGTGTGGACGAGAACACAGGCGCACCTATGCTCTCTGATGAGCACTCACCCCTCCCCAGTGCCAGAGCCAGACTGCCTGATGGGTCGGCCCTGCCACTCCCCGGGCTGCTTGGCACAGCCTGGTAACCTTCATCCCGGCCCTGAGGGGTGGGGGTGGGGGTGCAGTGGGAAGGATGAGGAGAGAAGGAAGCAGAGCAGTTTTCTGGAAGCAGCTGCGCATGTGGGCAGTGGGTTCTGAGGAATGCATAGGAGTTCACAGGGCAAAATAAACAGGGCTGGGATGTGGGTGTGGCGCACAGCCTGGCATGCAAGAGCCAGGGGACCCTTTAGCTGTCTCTCCCCTCCCCCCATAGCAATACTTCCACGCTGGCGGCGTAGGCCTCAAGAAGACCTTCCTGGAGAAAAGCCCCGACCTGCAGTCTCTGCGCTATGCCCTGTCGCTCTACACCCAAGCCACCGACCTACTCATCAAGACTTTCGTGCAGACACAGTCGGCCCAGGGTAAGGCCCCACCCTTGACCGCTGCTGGCTGCCCATTGGCTCCCTGCCTCTGTGACGTCGCCTCCGGGCCCCGCCCATTGTCTGCCCACCTCTGTGACATCGTATCTGGGCCCTGCCCGCTGACTCCCTGCCTTGTTGACGTCGTAGTCAAGCCCGCCCGTTGGCACCCTGTCTGTCTCTGTGACGCCATATCCGAGCCCCGCCCACTGGCTCCAGTCACTGTGACGTCATGCCAAGTCCTGCCCATTGGCTCCCCACCTCTGTGATGTCATAGGCGGGCCCTCGTGAGCCCCGTGATTTCTCGGAGACAGTGAGGGGTTCACTGACAGGCGTAGGGACTGAAGGTAATGCTCCTCTCTGGAGCAAGTCCATGACGTCATGGGACCAGGAGAAGATTGACAGCTCTGGGGCGGGGCCTGGACGTCTTGGGCCAGGGCTTTGGTGGACGGCTCTGGGCTGGGTGGTGTCTGTAATTCCGGGTCCTGGGGCGGCCTGGGAGGGACCCAGACCTGGAGGGTGAGTTCTCACACTCTCTGTCTGTCTCTTTCTCTCTTCTTGCCTTTGTCTCCGGACCTCCCGCAGCCCCGCTCCCCGGGAGGGGGGAGCTGACCCCAGAGGAGTGGTCGGGGCCGGGGGAGGGGGGAGACCCGCCCCACGGCCCCTCCGCACCCCTCCCCGCCCCTCCGGGCCCCTGCGGGAGGCTGTCCGTGTCCATGTGTCCGTGCGTGCGTGCGTGCCGCTGACGTTTCTCTCTCTCTTGTCTCTCTTCCCGCTCACTCGCTGCCCCGCTCCCCGCCACGCACACTCGCCCTCCATCCCCTTCCACTCGCCCCCTCCTCTCCCTGCTCCCCTGATCAGTCCACGGTGGCCAGGGGACTAGGTTCACTCTTAGTGAAGACATTTATCCTGAGAAGGGTACGTGCCTCCACCCCGCCGCCCACACCCCGCCCGGCACCTGCGCCCTCCCGCCGGCTAGTGAAGGGCCCGTCTGTCCTTCCGCCTGGGCGCCCGCTGGCCGAGGGGGAAGGACGGCTTGCTGGTTCCACGCGGGCAAGGAAGGGAAACGTTCCAGGGGCATCCGTTGGGGCCGATGCCAGAGGCCCTGGGCAGGGGCCCCGCTGGGTGCAGCTCTGCTGAGTAGGGTGACCTCTGGGGGCCGCTGCTTTCTCCCGGGACCATCCGGCTCTGGTTTGCAGTGGCCACTACTGCTGTTCTGGGCCCAGGCGCGGGAGACAGCACAGCAGGTGGACCCAGCTCGGTTCCTGGCCCCGCAAGACCCCAGAGCAGGGCCAGGAAAGGCCCCCACACACTGCTGGCCACTCCACTACCAAAATCAAATGAAATTTGCTCTGTCAAAGAAAGTGCACGACCCCGTGTTTCCGGGCCAAGCACTAGCCCAGGACTCTTGCAGAATCCTCCTTGTTGCACCTTGAGGTCAGGACACTAAGTCCGGTGATGAGGCCGCTGAGCCCAGTGACTGTCCCTGTTGAGGCACCCAGTGTGGGGGATGAGGGTGGGGGAGCAGAAGGACCCTGCAGACGCCCCCTTGGAGCCAGCAAACCACGGGAGGGGGCGCTCAGCCCTGCCCCCCTCCCCCTTCTTACTAGCTTTGGCCTTGGTCTCACCCCCATCACTGTCCCACCCCACCCACCCCCGGCACCCCCAATCTGGCCCGGATGGAGCTTGCATCAGCCTGGGGAGGGACGGGGCGGGGGCTGAGCATGTGACAGGTTTGGGGGCGGGTGGGAGCGTGGGTTGAAAAGGAACTTGGCCTGGGGAGGGCTGCCCAGTTGCACGCCCCAGAAGCGGGGTCACGGGGGTCTCTGGCACCGCAGTCACTTCCCACCCTGCACAAGGTCACCGGATTCGCTATTGGACTGAACCTTTCTCCTCCCCTTCCTGATTCTTTCTCCTCTCCCTCCTTCATGCATGGGGTGCTCCAGATACGGGGAGCTTTGGGTGTAGGGAAGGCCATGGGGTGCTGGCAGCCACAGGTTCCCAAGCCCCTCAGGATGTCAGTCCCAGGGCCACCAAGGGTGGGGCGGGAGCAGGAGCTGTGATCCTTGTACCCTCCTCAGCACAGCGGGACCGAGAGCAGGGGTCTCAGCGCAGGCAGCCGGGATGTAAGGGCTCTGGGGGCACAGCTGGGGACGCCAGGAGACAGCCTTGAGGGTTGGCACACTCGGAACCATGGAGCAGTCCCGGCTGTCATCAGCACCCTTGGCTAGAGCCCTGGTGCCCCCTGCTGTGTCCCCGTTTAAGAAACAAAGCAGGGGCCCGAGTGATAGTGCAATGGGTATTGCGTTTGCCTTCATGCGGCCGACCCCCTTTTGATCCCTGGCATGGCTATGATTTCCCCAGCACCACCAGGAGTGATTCCTGAGCACAGAGTCAAGAGTAAGTCCTGAGCACTGCCAGGTGTGCAAACACATCCCCGTCCCAAAAAAAAAGGGTAAAAACAAAACAGGATGAGTTAGATGGAGCGTATCTGGCAGTGAGTGTCGTTGCTTATTGGCCCTCTGTGGGGCGGGCTCTCCCCTTATTGGATGGAGAGACAAGACTGGCTCCCATTGGCCCAGTGGTGGTCATGTGACTCTCCGGAGCCAGTCATCTGCAGCCCTGAGCCGAGGAGGCGGTTCTGATAAGGTCAGCCTGGAAGTCAGCGTGCAGGTCCCTGATGGGTCCCTAGGCTGAGCCAACCGCGTGTGCCAGGGGCGTGCGGGGCCCCCCACGCAGTGTGAGGATCAGAAAGAAGAGGGAGAAGGATCCAGGGTGGGGGAGCTACTGTTAGGACGAGAACCTGGACAGTGTCGTTGTAACTAGAGGGGAAGCTGAGGCACGGGACCATGCAGGCTGCGTCCCGACTCCATAGTGGCTAGTGGAATGGGGAGAAGGGAAGCCCGTGAGCCAGATTCAGAGAGGTGCAGTGCTGTGACCGGGTCACACAGCCATTGCCCAGGAAGCGGCCACTATTCCAGTGCCCTCGCTGCTAGCCTGGTGGGGGTGGTGACCTGGTGCTGCCAGCACCGTGGGGGAGGGGCGTAGGGATGGGCATGGCCCTCCGGTGGGCGGCTGGGAAGGGAGCTCATCGGACACCCTCCCCGCCCCGCCCAGGCTCGGGTGTGGAAGACACCGTGGGGGAGGTCTCCGTCCACGTGGAGCTCTTCACGCACCCAGGAACCGGGGAGCACAAGGTCACGGTAAAAGGTGAGACGCGCTGGGATGGGAGCGGGGTGCAGGGTGGCGGGCAGACCTGAAGGGGCTAACCTTGTGTGCAGATGAGGCTGGTTTGGCACCTGGAACCGGGTTTACTTCCCTGAGAACCTCCAGGGCTCACTCCTGAGCACAGAGCCGGAGTCGCCCCTTAGCTCCGCCAAACAGAGAAAACAAGTGAGGGAGGAGGCGAGCGAGTTCACCGGGCTGAGTTCACCGGGCTGAGTCCCCAGGCTTTGTGTGCTGGAGGCCCCAAGTCCTCTCCCTAGCACCGCCTACAGCCCAAGCCTCACTGGGACTGTCACCCGAGCACATAGCAGGGCTAGCCCCTGCTCCGTTGGGTATGGATCCAGAAAACAAGATGAATATTTTCACCCCAGGGGCGTAGGTGATAGCCTAATGAACCCGAGCACAGGATTTGCAGTAGGAGGTCCTCACCTTGTAGTCTCCTGAGCCTGCAAGATCACCCCTGAGCCAGAACAAGGAGTAAGCTTCCAAGTACCCCTTGGGGTGTTTTTGTTACCCCTAAATTAAAACAAGCAAAAGGTTTCAGCCAGGAATCAAACCCAGGTCGGCCATGTGCAAGGCAAATGCTCAGTGAAGCTCAGCCTTTGCATGCATGGGACGTTTTTCTCCCAAAAATGGGAAAATAGAAGAGATAGCGCAGCGGGTAGGGCGTTTTCCTTACACGTGGCCCATGTGGCCGACGACCCGAGTTCGATTCCTCTGCCCCTCTCGGAGATTCGGCAAGCTACTGAGAGTATCTTGCCCTCACGGCAAGCTACCTGTGATGTATTCAACATGCCAAACACAGTAACAACAAGTCTCACAATGGAGACGTTACTGGGCCTGCTGGAGCAAAAGGATGAACAATGGGAAGACAGTGCTACACTTTCAGGCTTAGCTAGATCCAGGGGTGGAAACAGCATTGTTGAGGTCTATCGGCCTTTCGTGACTTGCAGCCCTGCTGCTCTATCCTCTGATCGCTGCAGCACAGAGCAGGCCGTGTGAATGCAGACCTGCTGTGACAGTGGCTAGCCACACAGTCTCTGCGTTGATTCAAACTGGTGATACTAGGGACACTCAGTGCTGGGGATCTAGGCCCCTGCCGCCCATTGTCCCGCTTTTATCCCCACTGCATTTTCGTTCTCTGGAGGGTCCCCCATGAACTCAGCTTCCACCCACGAGCTGGAAAAGGAGAAAGTTAGAGTGCTCTCAGCCTTTTTGCCCCTAGTAGGAGTCCTCGCATTTTATTGGCTGGAGCAAACTCGAAGAGCCTGCTGGGAAATGTAGTCTTTGGTGATGGAAATCAGGCTTCGCCATCTTCCCCACCAGGGGTCAGTGGGGGAATCACTCACTTCTCCCAACAGTGGTGGCTGCCAATGACCTCAAGTGGCAGACTTCTGGCATTTTCCGGCCGTTCATCGAGGTCAATATCATTGGGCCCCAGCTCAGTGACAAGAAACGCAAGTTTGCAACAAAATCCAAGAACAACAGCTGGGCTCCCAAGTACAACGAGAGCTTTCAGTTGTGAGTCTGGGGTTCTTCTGGGAGCATATCATGGGGTCTGTGCCCAGTGAATCTCAGGGACACGTAAGCAATGATGAGGTCCCTGGGTGCAGGGAGGAGTGAGGCCGGGAGTGAGGGGGCCCTGGGCTGGAAGGGACGCCATGGGCAAGCAGGATCTAGGGTGAACGCAAGTGAATGCAAGATTCACGGGCTGGGGACTCCTATCTCTGGTCAAGGGAGTGAAGGGTCATGCCATGGCTATGCGGTAAGGGCCAGGGGCTTGGGAGTTGAAGGCAGTGTAGCATCTATAGGGATGGGGCCGGAGAGGGTGGGGGTGAGGGTGGGATGGGAAGTCAGTTTGATGTCAGTGGGCCGCATAGGTGACTTATGTGAAGCGGGGAGGAGAAAGTCACTTTCTCCCCTTCTGCCTCTGCCATCTGGGGCCCAGAGTTACTGGGTTCTTGTTTTGCCTCACAGAAAGGAATTTCAAGAGACAAGCAGTGAAGTAAATAGATTTTATTTGGAGGGTTTTTGAAAGTGTGGAGGGGGAGAGAGGGAGTGTGAGGGAGAGTAACGCACTCAAGAGAGAATGCAGATGTATCCAAGGGCGGAGAGAGCCCCCACACATACCAGCATTAGACATGAAAGCATGAAAGTACACATCTCCGGGCTGAAGCGATAGCACAGCAGGTAGGGCATTTGCCTTGCACATGGCCGACCTGGGTTCGATTCCCAGCATCCCATATGGTCCCCTGAGCACTGCCAGGAGTAACACCTGAGTGCATGAGCTGGGAGTAACCCCTGAACATCGCCAGGTGTGACCCAAAAAGCAAAAAAAAAAAAGTACACATCTCAAGAGGAGAGATGCGGGCGACACATGTGCATGGGCGACACATGTGCTTGGCCACCACATGTGCTCGGCCACAAGCAGCACATGGGCTCGGGCAGCATATGTGCGCCCTTCCTTTGTTCAAGGTGGCTTTTATAGAGTATCTTCTTGGGATATCTTGGTCTGGAATGTTGTGAAGTCTTCTCTGGACTATAGTACTAACATTTCGAGGTGTTCGAGGAATTTCCTTCATGGGGAGGGATCCAATCTTCTCGGGATCTGATGCTGGTGCCAGGTGAGGGTCTTATCAGGTTTTAGTTCCTGTTTTCTGCAAGGTTGGCCTTTTGCAACTTCAGAGCTATTACTTCCCAAGAAATTTTCTGCCATTGCCTGGGCAGGGGGCCTTCCCTATCTGCCTGCCTGCCTACATTAAGTTCTGTGGGCTTCCATCAGGTACATGGGCCAGAAGGAACAGATAGCAAGGCAAGGCAGAGGGCCATGAAAAAGTTTGATTAGGTCCACAGAGGGGTGGAGGCAGAGGGGTCTTGAGCACGTGGGCATGGCCAGCGAAGACATAGAGTGGCAGACGGGTCGGACAGGGTGGATGCCTGAGAGTTGGTGCCCGCAGAGAGATGGGCGGATCACGGCCCAGGTAGACAGAGTAGAGGTGCTGGGCACAGTTCGTGGAGGGGTAGAGACACATGAGGGCGAAATCACGCGAGGGGTAGAGCCAATGGGGGGGCATCCATGAAGGGGCGTGTTACAGGAGGGGCAGGTCCATGTTGGTGGAGTCTCAGGCAACACACGGTCACAGAGATGAAGTCATGGGGGTAAAGGCGACAGTTAGGTTGAGGCTGGGGCCAAGAAAGGGGCAGAGTCAAGGGTGGAAGGAGTCGAAGAAGGGGCTAATGAAAGGAGGAATGGAGTTGTGTGTGGAGGGGGTCCACTGGGTGGAGTCGGGGTGGGGCCGGGAATAGCAACTTGCAGGCCGAATGGGGCAGAGCAATAGGTGGGCGGGAACATGGGAGGAGTCAGGGCTGGGGTGGGCGGGGCAGAGCAGCTGGTGGGTAGTGTGGTGGGCGGGATCAGAATAAGGCTCGCAATGGGTGGGCCCCGTGGGCGGGACTGGCAGCTGGTGGGCGTGGTTCTGGGCGGGTTGCGGTTGGTGGGCGTGGCCCTGGGCGGGAAGGCAGCTGAGGTAGCATAGGGGCCTTGCCTTCACGCCTCGCCCTCCTGCAGCACGCTGAGCACCGACGTGGGTCCCGAGTGCTACGAGCTGCAGGTGTGCGTCAAGGACTACTGCTTCGCACGTGAGGACCGCACGGTGGGGCTGGCCGTGCTGCAGCTGCGCGAGCTGGTCCAGCGTGGCAGTGCTGCCTGTTGGCTGCCTCTCGGCCGCCGCATCCACATGGACGACACGGGCCTCACGGTATTGCGCATCCTGTCGCAGCGCAGTAACGACGAGGTGGCCAAGGAGTTCGTCAAGCTCAAGTCTGACACACGCTCGGCCGAGGAGGGCGGTGCGGCGCCTGCACAGTAGGGCGGGCAGCACTGCGCCTGCGCGCTGGGAGCACCTCCGAACTGCTCAGGGCGCCTGCGCGAGGCCTCCCGCTCTCGGGAACTCGGAATGGACGAAGCCCCGCCCCCTCGGGGGGCCGCGCCCGCCCGGGCGGAGGAGAGCGGGCGGCGCCCTCCCAGCTCGAGGCCGAGCCCCAGCGTCGGAGGGCTGGGAGTGGGGGGTGCTGGGTGTCGGGCAGGGCGGCCCCCTGTGCCCTGGAAAAGCCATAAGACAGGTCCCCAAACCGGGGGGCCCTGGACCGATTGCCAAGTAAGGAGCTGTTAGCACCCTCGATAACGGGGGGGGGGCTCCCTTGGGAGCCCGCTTAGGGTGGGGTGGGGCTGAAAGGTCCCCCCTAGGGAACCTGAGTCTTAGATGTTTGTGCAAAATATCAACAGGGAGAGGAGGAAGGATGGAATTTCAAAAGCACATGCGCCCTCGGGTGCCTGGACCCTGGGGGCTGAGGGGCTGTTTCTGGGGGTTCCGGGCAGTCCCTCAACTTCCCTAAAGGGTTGTCCCCCTCCCTCCCGTACTTAGTCCTCACCTCGGAGTCCACCCTCCGTTTCGTCTCAGAGGGTCCCTGGGCCCCTCCTCCACCCGGGCAGGGGGCTGACATAGAGTGACTCCACACAGCTCCCCACTGCTGCTAACCCTCCCCTCAGGGGGACCCCCCCAATCCTGACAAGGGTCAGGGCGTCTGGGCCAAGACCCCTCCATTGTTCCTCCCACCTCTGGTTGCCAAGCAGGGACCACCACCCACTCCCTTTTCCCCCTTGGACCCCAGAGGGCGTACCCCTGAGAAATCTTGAACTCCCACCAAAAGAGAGTGAAGTTTTGGGATCAGGCCCCACATCTTAAGCCTCTCCCAGGATTCTCCAGGCTAAAAGAAATGAAAATGAAACGAGAGAGAGAGAGAGAGAGTGTGTGTGTGTGTGTGTGTGTGTGTGTGTGTGTGTGTGTGTGTGTTTCTCCAGCTCAGCACATGTGGAAAGATCCTCAGGAAGTATTTGTGGAATCACCTTCTGACTTCTAGATAAGAACAGTTTCAGAAATATTCCACTTCATCTTGCCCCTCCCCTGCCCCCTGGAACTCCTACTCATGCCTCAAAACTCCCTCCCAAATATCCCTTCTGCTCTCCCTCAGGATTTCCCTGACTTCTGTCCCTCCAGAAGCCATGGACTTGGGGGGGGTGCGTGACAGGTTCTCTTGCCGCCCCCCTAAGTTTGTCCAGCACAGGCTAGGCATAGGGAGCTGGCAGGAACCTGGTCTCCATCATCTCACATCTAGGGATGCACGCGTGCCTGTGTCTGTCCCGCCTTCCCCCCCCTGCACACCTGGACACACAGGAGGTGTCCAGCCCAGACTGGGACTGAGCGAAGAGAGGACCAGAGACAGATCCGGGACGGGAAGCGTTTGCGACCACAAAGTTCCTGCCTTGGCAGCAGAAGCCCCAGCAAGGGGTGGAGGGCACCGCGGAGCTGGGGCCTCCCTTCGGGGTCCCCCTGGCTCTGAGTCCCATCGGGGCACCATGGTGCATTGACCCAGCCTTGCAAGGATCAGGGAAAGGAGTGAGGAAGGGACCTGAGGATGCAGGGCGGGGCCTGGCCCAGCCAGTCACCCCCGAGGACACAGGGCCTGGAAGACCGCTCAGCGGGTGAAGAAGGGGCCCCTCTGCGGGGCTCAGACACCCTCGGGATGCAGAGACAAAGCAATAGAGGGGGTGGGGCCTTCCTGCCTCTTGGGACCCCTTGCCCCACCCCCCCCCCGTTTCCCAAGGAGGCGCCAGTTGCGCCCCCATCCCTGTGACTCAGGCAGAGAGCCTGAACCCTCACCGTGGCCCCCAACAGAGATGCAAAAAAGAAAAACACCCCACCTTAATACACCACTGCGGTCCTCAGGGCCGGAGACCTCCGTCCCCTTCCCCACTGCCCGCGCTGCCCCTAGCGACGGGACCCTGAGGGGTGGACCAGAGCAGGGACTGCCCAGAGAGGCCCCAGCTCTACACTGCGAACTACCAAAGCTGTCTGTCCGGTCACGTGCTGCTTTCTCTTCACTCTCCATCTTCTTAAAGGGAGACACAAGTTGACAGTATCAAGTCAACTCCTGTGGGGAGCAGGGGACAGAGCTGGAGGGTCCCGGTGGACCCCGCCCTACGTCCACAACCTTCCTGTTAGCATGTGATTGCACACGTGGACTCAGCACCTTCCTCTGTCTGTCGGACTCCACACCCTCATCCAGCTGTGGAACAGGGGCCCCCATTTCTCTGTATATAGAAGACTCGGAACAAATGTTTAAAAGCAATGAGAACTGCTCATGAATGCATGGTGTTGAGATGTTTTGCACTATTCTGACTTTTTGGTCTCTGTAAAAAATATTTTATTAACAACAAACATTAAAAAAAAAAAGACGGATGCACTCACTCTGTTCTTTCAAAAGAAGTCTTCAGCAGGAGTACGAGAGAGGATAGGGAAGGCGCTTCCTTGAATAGAACCCACCTGTGTTCCTTCCCTGCACCCCGAATTGTCTCTTGAACCCCACCAGGAGTGATCCCTGAGCGCAGAGTCAGGAGTGAGCCTTGACTTCTGCCCAGTGTGACCACCAAGAAACAAAAATAAGACTAGATGGGTTTCTGTTTTTTGGCCATACTGAAGATGCTCAGGGGTTACTCATAGCAGTGCTTAGGGTGCAAGGGATACAGCCCCTGTCGGTGGCGTGCGGGAAAACGCCCGCCCCGCTGGATTCTGCCTTCAGCCGATGTGTATTTTCCTAAGGCTTTTGTCAATGGACTTGAACAGCGGAACAAATGCCTGCTCGATTTTGAGAACTAGGATTGCCTGAAACCCTTCATTCTTGAGGTCACCACAAAAACACAAATCTCAAACCCACACAAGGATAGGAGCAAGAAAACACGGGTCTAGGGGGCGGAGCCTGCGTCCCGGCTCCGGATTGGCTAGCCCCGTCCCGCTATAATACGCACCCGCTACCTATTGGCCCGGCCAAGCCCCGCCCCCAACCCGGATTGGCTGACAATGCAGCAGGACCGCCCACAGGAACTACCCACGGGCGCCCTCAGCGCCAGGTTCTCTACTGGGGAATGGCAGAAACGCCCACAGCGCTATCTCGTGGCGTTACTGGGGAACTGCGTAGCCCGACTTTCCCACGCTTCAGATTTCCACCCTTAGGTTTGCGTCAGTGTTAAGCATGGGGTCATTAAGGATCAAGCACGCAGCTTCGGCAGGTGCAGCAGTGTAGAGCCCGGTGGCTACTTGCTCTTCATGGGGCCAAGTTGCCGGGTTTAATTTCTCAATACTGACTTTTGGGGACGGGGTGGGGGCTGTAGAACAGCTGAATCTTTTCAGGGATTTTGAGGTGGGTAACCACAGTGGTCCTAATGTTCATGAGGGTTGCTGAGGATTCATGAGGGAACCTGGTCTGCCACGAGCAAGGCAAGGTTCACAAATCACAATCACAAATCATCCTGTTATTCGTCGATTGCCTCGAGCAGGCCCCAGTAACGTCTCCTTCATCCTAGCCCTGAGATTATATTCAAGGCTCTTTAGGAGAATGAGACCAGGTTATTTATTTATTTATTCGATTCTCTTCACTTTGAGCAAGAACAGTTCTGAACCCACTTTGCTATCTGTGTTCGAGCCCTTTGAAAAGATCTACTGTTATGGTTAACCCTGCACCCAAACACCCCACATTTCTCAGGGTGCCCCAACCCTGTTCTACAAGGAGGTGGGGGCATGAAAGCAAGATACAGCCCAGAACCCCCCAAGTTGGGGTGAGGGAATCCGCCATCAAGGGATTGAGGCTGCTTTGTTTTTATTTCCTTACGTGTTTGTTTATGATTTGAGGGTCACACTCGGAATGCTCAGGTGCTACTCCTGGCTCTGCACTCAGGAATCACTCCTGGCCTGGCTGAGGGTCTATATGGGAGCCTACGAATGAACCAGGGTCCCCTGAATGCAAGGCTAGAGCCCTAATAGCTCCCACTGCGGTGCCTGAAGCTGCGTGCTTGATCCTTAATGACCCCATACTTAACACTGAAGCAAAGAAAAGGGCTGGAAATCTTAAGAGTGGAAGTCAGGCTGAAGCAGTTCCACAGAACTGCCACGAGATGGCGCTGTGGGATTTTCGTCCCTCCCTAGAGATGTTTCTCTTAAGAAATTTCCACCTGGGGTCCTGATGGCTCTCCAGAACCTGCTCTATCTCCCTAGTAATCACAGCATTTCTGCAGGAAATACTTTTTTTTTTTTTTTGCTTTTTGGGTCACACCGGCGATGCACAGGGGTCACTCCTGGCTCTGCACTCAGGAATTATCCCTGGCCGTGCTCAGGGAACCATATGGGATGCTGAGAATCAAACCTGGGTAGGTGTGTGATAGGTGAATGCCCTACCCGCTGTGCTATCACTCCAGCCCCGGGAAATACAATTTTTTAAAAAATAAATAAAATATTTTCTGCAGACGGGAGCCAGATATTTGGCCTCTTCCGCTGTCTGCCATGCTGACCAAGCTAGGGGCTTTGGCTTCTTTATTTTGAGGTGTGGGGTCTGGGTGACCACAATTTCTGGGGGTACAGGGGACCCTATACGGTGCCTGGGATGGAGCCCAGGTTGATCACAGGAGAGGATTGTGCCTTCTCCACTGTACATTCTCTCCAAATTGATGCCTGTTCTTAAAGGTCCCCAGCATGGTCCTCCCTGCACCCCCCCTCCCCACATTCCTGAGGGTGCCCCTTTCCCCTTTCTACTTGGAGGAGGAGAGGGTGAAGGCAGGATTCAGCTCTGTACCCCTGCAGTCGGGAGTGAGTAAATCTGCTGCAGGAGCTGGTGACGTTGTTCAGGGTCACACTGGGCAATGGCCGTGGGCCACTTCTGGACCTGGACTCAGGACAGTGCTGGAGGGAGGTAGGACAGGTCTGGGTGGGAGTTGCAAGGCCACCACTCTCCTTCTGTCCCTTTCTCCTGGCTCCTGTAATTCT